ACTGACTGTGGCTGAAACCCGATTCCCTCCAACTATTGATCAGACTATCGATCAGCAGGAGCCATAAGACAGTAATTGATCTCTCTCCAGAGACAGATAGACGTCTCTCTCTAATCCAGTTCTGTCTGTTTCTTCCTGGAGCCGCCATTTTTAACCCTTTACAGTTTGAATGTTTCTCTTCAGTAGCTTTAAAGGAAACTGGTTTATTCCATGTTGCCATGTTGTGTTTTCCCAATAATCTGTGAATGAATCATTTCAAACACTCGTCTCTGAGTCTGAAACGTCCAGTTTCACATAGTGTTTACTTTAAATACATTCAGGCTGAATGCAGGACTTTAACTTGTGTACGCTGGTCGACCATCAGAGAGGTGTGGCTGAATAGTCACCTGACGTCTTCCTGTGTTTACTATGGGTCAGAGTCAGAGACGAAAGACTGTAACCATGACAACAGGAGACAGTCCTGGGGTCGTATCAGAGGGTTGTTCAGATTGGAGGAGTTGTTGTGATCTCCATCAGACTTTTAAATAAGGTTTGGGGAAAACAAGGTTCCCAGCTGTGCAGCGTTCACTCGTCGTGAAAGTCGTATTTCCCATTTGACCTGAACACATCATCATCATCATCATCATCACTTGTATAAAGGGTTAATGGAGGTGTCAATGACCACAGCAGCCGTCCAGTCGACCACAAATGAACTCATTAATTATTCAGTGTCAGAGACACCAGCAGAGATCGATTTGGGGGGGGGGGTCGAGAGGAAATGAACCTGGACAGTATTTTCTGTCCTCCAGTAACAAACGAGCCCACAGGTCGTCTGTGCAGCAGGTTGTTATGACATCGCCGTTAGGTTTTGTTGCTAGGCGACATCTAGTGGTTGTAGTGATGATGACAGGAGCAAAAAGGAAAAGTGTCGGTGGCGTAGTGTAAAGAGAGACAGAGTCCACGTCAGGAGGAGGTGGTGGATGGATGAATGTGACACAGGAGAGCCGTGTGTTCGATTCCCGTGTTAAACCAGCAGTTTATGTTGTAACCATGACAACAGAGATCGTACGATGTTGAGGAAGTACTTATTTTAACGTAAACTACCATCTTTTCCTAAACCTAACCAAGCCATGACCGTTTTTATAGTCACCATGGCGACAAAGATAGATATGCCCGCTGTAGGTACAGTCCATGTGTTTATTATTGTAACCATGACAACCAAGGTCCAGCAGGGAGACAGGAGACACTCCTACAGGTCCTATCAGAGGGTTGCAAAAAAAACAACCTATTCACATCTACTCAGGCACTTGAACACATCATCAGTGAGGCGTTCGCTGACCTTTCTTTCCCACACACCATCGATGCCCAGGAGGCTTTGCACCGTGATTTTCAACAAATATGGACAAAATAAATGAATAATGAACGAATGAATATTCACATGGTTTTAATTTAAACTTTTTAAATTCATGAAGAATTTATCAGGAGATGATGGAAATGAAAGCAGCTGCTGCAGGAACGTGACGCGTGATTTTCTTTAAAAACTTTTGCAGCTACAGATTCTCCGAGAAGAATTTATAGTTTTTATTACATTTATTTTATAAATCCAGAACACAGAAACAGGACAGTTTAACCCTGTTATTAGGTTCAGCTGGTGGTAAAAACTTCACTGTGTGTTTGTTCATTAACTCCAGCTCCAGCAGTTTCCCGCCATTTTTAAAAATATACATGTTTGTGTTTCAGCTGCTGATCGGGCTGAAGACCAACAGATACAGACATGATCCCTTATTCTCCCTAAGGTAACACACACACACACACACACACACACACACACACACACACACACACACACACACTGTATTTCATTATGAGCATGTGCAGGACTTTTCCTGTGGCTGACCGTCTGTTACCCAGACCTCTGTGTGTGTGTGTGTGTGTGTGTGTGTGTGTGTGTGTGTGTGTGTGGGACAAAGCTGTGGACTCTGGAATAATCCCTTTGTGTCCATCGGTCACATCAGACAATACAGAACTGGCCACCCAGCAGCTGCAGCAGAGCCATGTAGACTGAGAGTTGTGTCGACTGTCTGAGGTTCACGTCTGATTTCGTCCTCTGATGATTCAGACAGATATGTCTGACCAATATTGAATTTCCTTATATGAAATATTTGTTTTATATGATTTTATATGTACATGTAAAATGAAAACATACATGTAAAATGTATATATAAATGTATATTACCTATTAGAAATGGGAACAGTTTCATATATTGATATATATGGTGGTTGCACCAGTTTAAAACTACTCTAAATATACTTAAACATACTAAAGCAGCTTTTAATTGTTGATTTAAATGGTTTTACGTTACGCTATCTTATGTTACATTATCTTACATTATGTTACCTTGCGTTGCATTGCGTTGCGTTATGTAATGTTACATTACGTTATGTTACATTGCATTACCTTGCGTTATGTCACCTTATGTTACCTTGCGTTACGTTATGCAAATACCTGTTAAAAGGTGGATTCAAGAGTATATTTAAAAATTGAGAAAATACCTTAGCGTTCAGAGAGTTAGATTAATGAGAAAAACATATATAAACATATTGAATTTTGTTGAATGTACTTGTATGTTGTTTTTACAAACACAGCATATATAAATTAAATATATATCATCAACATATATGGTCACAACATGTTAAAAATTCATCATATAGATAATTTGAATATATTCTTTTAATAATTTTACTCTGGGTATTTCATATATGTTATAAACTTATATCTTCATATATCCAGAGGATCTATATACATACATACATATATACATACATACATACATATATATATATATAGATATATATATATATATATGTGTGTGTGTTAATACTATATTCTCTTATAGGAGACATATACGGCAACATCACTCTTGATATAGGATCATATTTTTCATATATTAAATTTCTGTGTGGGTAAACAAGTTCACCAAAACAAGAATAATCAACACTCTCATTTACAGCTCCATAGGCTCCATATCTCCAAATTACCTGCTAAAACGTTTCCTGTTTTTACCCAAGATATTTTTTAATCTGAATCATTTTCAGAAGAGAAAAAATGAGAAAATCTGATTAAATGAACAGGAAGTCTGTATTTTCTTTTTCTCTTAATGACCTTTAGGTTTATCATGTGACACTGTGTGGGGGGGCCGCGACCCCCGGGTTGGAAACCACTGTTTTAGAAAAGGTTTTTGGTTCAGTCAGAGTTTGATCACAGCAGCATCTAGTGGCCGTTAGAGGAACTGCAGCTGATGGTCCGTCGACACGACCCCAGCACGGGGACGTCATCGACTGAACCCTGGTGGATATACAGCTCTGGTTGTGCAGCTGTCTGTCATAGAAAGCCTCTGCAGCAGATTTCTGATTTCCAGCTGACTCACACACACACACACACACACACACACACACACACACTGTTATCTGTCAGCTGATTCCTAACTTACCTGCTCCTGTCATTTACTCTCAGTTTCACTGCAGTTACACACATGTAATAATATACATGTAATAATAATATATTTTATATATTGTTGTATATTAATGATATAATATCATCCTGTGTGTGTTTTTCTCTCAGAAACTGACCAATCAGCAGTCAGGATGATGCCCAAGGTAAACACTGTTGGTGATATTTCTGCTTTCTGGTCGAGTGTGTGTGAAGAAGAGTCTTATTATCTCTGAGGTTTCTATTTTTAGGATCTAAAAAGAAAATGAAGATCATTCATTTTATGACTCGTCTGAAAACGCCACGACGTCTCTGTTCAGCTCTGAGGGTGGATTGTTTCACACTGTGTGTGTTTTAAAGACGAACTGAACTCTGAATCCACTTTGACTCGAACCGTGTCAGTGTGTGATTAACCCTGTTTGTTGTGTGTGTGTGTGTGTGTGTGTGTGTGTGTGTGTGTGTGTGTGTGTGTGTGAGCAGCAGCTGGCTCAGACATCTCCAGGGAGTGTGTTGTCGCTGAGAGGGCCCAGTATCCCAGGATCCCCTGCTGCCGCCATTGTGGTGAGACACACACACACACACACACAGATGAAGTTATATTATCCTTCTGATTAATCTTGAGGCAGTAATCTGTAATCCCCCCCCCCCCCCCCCAGGCCAGGGTGGAGGATGGGGTCATCGGCTATAAGGACTTGGCGGCGTTACCCAGAGACAAAGCGATCCTGGACATCGAGAGACCAGACCTGATGATCTACCAGCCGCACTACAGCTACAGTCCTCTGGAGGTGACTGACTGACTGACTGACTGACTGACTGACTGACTGACTTTGACTGACTGAACTCAGACTTGACTGACTGACTCCACTGACTGACTGACTGACTGACTCAACTGACTGACTGACTGACTGGACTGACTGACACTCAACACAACAGGAAGTGGTTTCACCAAGGAAGGTCAAGCATGTGTGGGGGGTGGTAATCAGGACGCCAATCTAGACCTTCTTCTCTCTCTCCCTCTCTTGTCTCTCTCTCTCTCTTCTCTCTCTCTCTCTGTTCTCTTCTCTTCTCTTCTCATCTCTTGCTCTCGAAACTCCGCCTCTACTCTCTCTTCTCTCTGCTCTCGATCTCCTCTGCTTCTCTCTCGTCTCTCTCTCTCTCTCCCATGTCCTCTCTCTCTCTCTGTCTCTCTCCCGCCTCCTCTCTCCTCTCCTGCTCTCTATCTGCTCTCTGTCCTCTTCTCTCTCTTCTCCTAAACTGACTGGCCCAGCTTCGGCTCCTCTCCCTTCGTCTCCTGTCGGCGTCTGCACATGTCTCTCAATTCGAGTCTGCCTGGTCTAGTTCTCGTTGATCCTTTTTCTTTCTCCCCTCTCTCGCTGCCTCTCTCTCTGGGCGTCTCTCATTTCTCTCGTCTCCTCCTCTGTCTCTCTCTCTCTCATCTCTGTCGTCTCTATCTCTCGCACTCTCTTCATGTCTCGTCATCTCTCTCTCGTCCGTCTCTCCTCTATCTCCTGCTTCTTCTTCGATGTTGTCTCGTCTCTCTCTCTATTTTAAAACATCATTTTCTCATTAGATGAATGTTGGTTTTGGACAGATGTTTACCTGTTTCCAGTCTCTAAGCTAGGCTAGGCTAAGCTAAGCTAAGCTAATCGGCTGCTCGGTCCACACAGACGCATCATGAATAATGAAACACATCCAAACTTTCTGCTGATGAAACACTTTGTTAGTTGTTAGTTCAGGAAATTCTTTTATTTTGACAGCGTCTTCGTCGCTCTCTGAATCTATTTATGTGTTCGACTGTTTAATCTATTTTTATTTCTTTCCTCCAGAGGTCCTTGTCTCCTCGCTCCAGCTCTCCTCCCCCCTCCCCAGAGGTAAGACCCCCCCCCCCCTTACATGTCATGATGTACTTTATCTTAAAGCGTCCTCTCTTCCTGTTTACATTGTGATCCACACAATGGAAGGAGTTTACACACTGCATTGCTGCTTTGTGATTGGCTGATTGGATAACTGCATGAAGGCCCAGGTGTACAGGTGTTCCTGAAAAAGTGCTCAGTGAGAGAACTACTTTGAGTTTGTATCCCTCCGCGCCAGCGACAGTCAGGGCGGCAGCCATTTTGTTTTCAGGTTTTCCATCCGTCTCATTCTCGTGGACTCGATGTCTCAGTAACGCCGGGACAGAATTTCTTCAAATTTGGCACAAACATTTACTAGGACTCAAGAAGGAACTAATTAGTCTTTGGTGGTCAAAGGTCAAAGGTCAAAGGTCAAGGTCACGGTGACCACACAAAACATGATTTGGCCTTGTGAACAAAACATCTCAAGATCTCCTCAAAGGAATCCCTTCACATTTGGCACAAATGTTCACTTGAACTCAAACTGATAAGCTTTTGGGGTCAAAGGTCAAAGGTCAAGGTCTCAGTGACCTCACAAAATGCAGTTTTGGTAACGCTTTGATGTCATTTCTTCAAATTTGGTAAAAATATTCACCAGGACTCAAGGACAAAGTAAATATATTTTGGTGGCTAAAGGTCAAAGGTCAGTGTGACCTCAGAAAACATTTTATACGCATTACTCAAGACTTCACAGCAATTATGACATAACATCTCACCAATAGTGAATATTTCATGACTCATCATAAACAGGGATGTAACCTGGAACTAGTCTGAGTGGCGGAGGGATACGACCACGAGGTTCTACTTTCCTTCTTGCTTGAAAGGTTCATTTTCTTTAAAAGTCAGTGAAGAGAATCAAGTTTCGATGTGAGCTGTTGAACCCGAGCACACGTCTGAACGGAGTCTCGGGTTGTGTTTCTGTCTCTGCCACTGAGCAAGGCACTAACCCGCCTCCTGCCTGACTCTGTGTTTGTCCTCTGTGTGTCCAGAACCTGTCCAAGGAGTGGCTGGAGAACCGGTCTCCTGGAGGATCCTCTCCCGGCTCCACCATCCAGACCAGCAGAACGCACAGCACGCACACGCCGCCAACACCACACACACCAAACACACCAAACACACCACACACACACCTGTCTGGTACCAAGAGCGCCGTGCAGCACTTCCACAGGCCCGGTGAGAAAAAGTGCCTGTGGAAACACCCGAGTTACTTCATGTAACAAACAACCTGTCTGTTTTTAAACTGCTCCAATTAAACATTTAAAATATTCAAATTTATACCAATTTATTTATTTATTTTAGAAAATGGTTCCAACATCTACAAGAAGCCTCCGATCTACAAACAAGGTTCAGTCGGATACTGACGTTTCAACTGTTCATACTTCAGTCTGAGCTCAGGGTCACATGTAAACACTGTGTGTGTGTGTGTGTGTGTGTGTGTGTGTGTGTGTGTGTGTGTGTGTGTGTGTGTGTGTGTGTGTGTGTGTGTGTGTGTAGATGCCTCGTCCTCTGTCGTCCCTCAGGGGAAACACATCGAGGATCTGATCATCGAGTCGTCAAAGTTTCCAGCAGCTCAGCCTCCGGACCCGAACCTGCCCTCCAAGATAGAGACCGACTACTGGCCCTGCCCCCCCTCGCTGGCTGTGATTGGTACACACACACACACAGATTCTGTATTAATCAGACAGTTCTCCTCTCACCTTGTATCCTTTCCTCCCCTCTTCTTTCCTTTCCTTTTCCTTTTCTGTCTCCTTGCTTCCTCTCCTCCTCTAGAGAAGGAGTGGAGGAGGAAGGAGCAGAGGGATGAAGATGAGGAGGAGGAGCTGGATGATGAGCTGTGGGGACTCCGAGCTCTTCAGAAACAAGAACTCAACAAGGTGAGAGACAATGATAGTGGTCCTGGTCCTGGTCCTGGTCCTGGTCCAGAAGGTGGGAGAAGAGGCGGGGGGGGTCGAGATCTGGATCATGGACCAGGGTTCACCTCTCTCTCTCTCTCTCTCTCTTTCTCTTTCTCTGTCTCTCTCTCTCTCTCTCTCTCTGTCTCTCTCTCTCTCTCTGTCTCTCTCTGTCTCTCTCTCTCTCTGTCTCTCTCTCTGTCTCTCTGTCCCTCTCTCTCTCTCTCTCTCTCAGATTCAGTCTAATCTGGGTAAAATCATCCTGAAGGAGGAGTTGGAAAAGTCAGCAGCTCCTCTGAGGAGGAAAACCCGCTCTCTACCGGACCGCAGCCAAAACACCGGTACACACACACACACACACACACACACACACACACACACACACACTCTGGTCACACACACACACTCTGGTGACACCTGGTGGTCTGGATGAGAACAGACCACCAGTTGCACAAAACACCTTAAGTTAAGATTTTCCTTAAAATGTTTTAAGGGTTTTCTCCTTATCTCAGTCTTAAACTTCAGGAATCCCTTAAATTGTTGAACAAGTAGAAAACTTAAGGTGTTTGATAAGTATCAACACTTTGCTTTAATCTGATCAATGATCCTGGAACATGATAGATTTAATGATCATTAATAATCATTAATAATCATTATCTGCAGGAAGGAATCTGATAATGAACTCATTTCATTTCCTCCTCCTCTTCAGGGTCCAACGTCTCCAAGTCTGTGTATTTCCCAGCGTCCTCTAAGAGCGGCCTGTCCAGGGTGAGTAACACGAGCGTCCAATCACAGCAGAGCTGAAGAACAGGTGATGAACAGGTGATGAACACGTCTCTGTGTGTTTTCAGCTGCAGTCAGCAGAGTTCAGCTCCTCAGAGAAAACTCCAGCAGGTAAAGCGGCTCTGAACGTGTTTGTTCTGTGACATCATCAGTAGGGGACGTTACTGAATCTGTGTTTGTTTTGTTCATGGAGAGAAATTAGAATCAGAACGTTCACAAGTTAAAAATGAGGTTTACAAATGTGTGCAATGATTTGTGTTTGTAAGTTTGGAAACTCATAAATGTGTGTTCCAGTCCACAAGCAACTGAAGATATGACAGAATATAGATCATCTAATGGGAGAGAAACACATTTCAACAGAACAGCACCTCCCAGCTTATTTAACATAAACATGAGCTTTACTTCACATAAAACACAGGAGACCTGAAAATATTGACCTATAAACCACATATTTATTTACAGGCTGCTGTATAGAGTCTATAGATGTTATTCTTTCCCACTTTGAAATCATATATGAATTCACCAAAAGCCCAGATGTCCCAGTTTTCCACCAGCATTTAAATGCAGCATGCACATGTAACCTGATCCGTGCACAGAAATTTAACAATCTGTAATAAAACAAAAAAAAGAAAGAAAGTGAGAAATGTTTGTAGACGTCTGTGAAGGTGAAGTTAAAAATCTGCATATAAATTCTTCACATGGAATCAGGGTATTTGAAAAGTAGATTTACACGTGTTCAAACTTTACCACTGTAACGTCAGTTAGAAACCAGCTAACATGACTTAGCTTCATAAAAGTGTAACTTCATCGAGGTGTTGTTCACCAGGAAGACATTGACCTTTGACCTTAAACCAGCAACATGTAGATGTTTTCGTGTCACCTGATGAACTCTGACTCTCTCCTTTTCTTTTCTCTCTCTTCCTCCTGCAGCTTTTCAGGTACAGTCGCACTGTTTTCAGAAATTTACCATCATTAATAATAGGATGATTTTTCTGTTACTGAGTGTGTGTGTGTGTGTGTGTGTGTGTGTGTGTGTGTGTGTTGCAGAACGGAGATTCCAGGATGGACAGAGGAAACTCTCTCCCCAGCATGTTGGATCATAAGGTGACAGCGGTGTGTTTGTTGTTTTCATGCAGACAGCTCTGTGTTGTTCGTCCAGGTGTGGAGATGATTGATCTGATTGGTCCATGTCTGCAGGTCTTCCCCTATGAGACGCTGGTGGTGACGCACAGAGGACGGAGCAAACTGCCCCCTGGTGTGGACAGGACCAAGCTGGAGGTAAACACTGTTGGTTTGAGCTGCAGCAGAGAGACGACGCAGGTAGGAAATACTGGCTCCGCCTCTTTGAGATGGGAGCAGGTGGCTGGTCTGAGTGAAGGCGTTCAGGGCAGTCTGAGTTAAGGTTTCCTTAAAATACAAACAGCTGCACAAAACACCCTTAATCCTTCTCCTTTCCTTAAAATGTTCACTTAAATATTCAAGCTGTAAACTGGTTTTAAAATAATGGTTGGCTGAATAATGAAGACTTGTTCCAAAAGAAGAGTCACACTCATGTCTTCTGATTAGCAACGACACTGTTCCCTGTGCCCTCTGTTCTCCATGACATCCAACACTTCCTGCAGATGTTTCACAATAAAAGTCTATCTGGAAACAGAGGGATTTTGCCATTTGAGTTGCTGGAGGGCTTTTATTGTGAAACATCAGTGCAGGAGGTGTAGAGTCATCATTTACCCAGAGAGAAAATATAGTTGTTTTTTTTGATAAGAGAGACAGATCAACTGAATATAATATATATACATATATTTTAAAATATTTTATCACAGGCTCTTGTGGCCAGAATGAGTATTACAAAGACAAACAGATTCTTTCCCTCAGCGCTTCCTTTTTCCTTTAAGTCTGAGCTAAGGTTTCCTTAAAGTAAAAATAGTTGCATAAAACACCCATAAGTCCTCTCCTTAAGGTGTCCTTAAAATGTTCACTTAAATATTTAAGGTGTTCTCCTTATCTTGGTCTTAGACTTAAGGAATCACTTAAAGTCAGTTAACTGTTGCACGAAACACCTTAGCACCACACTAAGGGAAAAAACTAAAGGTTCCTGTGATTGTATCTTAACTGCAACATCACAATTTCTCAAACTGTGACTATATTTTCCATCCAGGTAAACGATATAAACTCCTTTAGTAAAACACAAAAAATGTGAATGTTTTATTTTGAAGAAATAAAAAACAAAAAAACATCAATAAACCAATAAAAATGTCAATCAGTCAAGTTTCACAGAGGTCATGTGACTGTAAAACATGAGAGACACAGACTGCGGCTAAGTCTGAAGACGCTCTGAGTCTACACCGCCTGCACTGATGTTTCACAATAAAAGCCCTCCAGCAACTCAAATGGCAAAATCCCTCCGTTTCCAGATAGGCTTTTATTGTGGAACATCTACAGGAAGTGTTGGATTTCAGGGTTAGCGGATTAACATTTATAAAAAACCATGAAAGTAAATGAGAGAAAATTAAAACCAAATGTTTTTATGCTCAGTATTAGATTCAGTGATCTGTTTAAGATGTCGTTCACTACAGTGACCTCTCTCTCTCTCTCTCTCTCTCTGTCTCTGTGGATGTCTCTCGCCCCTGCAGAGACACCTCTCTCAGGAGGAGTTCTTCAGTGTTTTTGGGATGTCCATCGAGGAGTTCGACGGCCTGTCGCTCTGGAAGAGGAATGACCTGAAGAAGAAGGTCTGTCTCTTCTGACGTCGCTGGGACTCCACTTCCCACAATCCCCTGCTTTTCTCGGATCGCTGGCAGGATCCTGAAACCCCAGACTCTGGACAAAATGTCATAATCAGCAGCACAAATACCACCACCATCATCATCATCATCACCACCACAGCAGCAGCAGCTCGCTGTGGGACGGTGTGTCGAAGTCACAGGTTCGATGTCGACTCAGTGAAGGTTTGATGCTGCAAACGTTAAATCATCTGTTTTAAAGCTGATCAGAAAATAAGCTTCAGTCTCTGGACGTCTGTTTAAGTTCATTAACAACAAAACTACTGAGCACAAATGATCATTGTGAGGATTTTAGAGCGGGAGTGACGGATCTGGACGCACAGAGCAGGAGAGAAATCAACGTTTGGCTTTTAATCTTAAAAATGACATCATCATAGTTTTGAAAGTTTGTCTCCCTCGTATTCAAACTCCAGAGGAAAATAATTAGCTTTGACTGTAGAACGCAGGTTGCTAAAACCACATTCTCAGACTGTTGGACTTAAAGGAGCTATTTGTAAGTTCTGCTTTTGCTACATAGCTAGCGTTAGCATTAGTAGCTGTTTACTCACCAGTCTAGAAGAAACGCTGTGAGTTCAGCAACAAACTTCTGTCTCCAGAGGTGGAAACAAAGACCAATGTTAACTCTTGCCTCTATCACATCTTTTCTTCTACTGAAGTTAGCATGCTAACCAGCTAGCCCCGACTTGTTTCGCCACTTTCCAATAGAGTTCTGCAGGAATGATCGTATCTTAGCACTTCCTGTTCCCTCGTCCTGGCTTTTTGAACAGGTTTTTGTTTAGATAACAATAATTTACACTTCCATATAACATTTTGTTGTCACTTTGTCGCCTTGCAGCTAATCCTTGTGAAATAAGACTAGCAGCCGAAAAGGCAGATTTTACCTTCTCTGTTTCCCCACAGCATGAAATGGGTGACAAAGATTTACAGTAAATGACAATAATGTAAATCTGTGGCGCTGTACAGAGCGAGGACTCTAGCTCACATAGAGTGCTGCAGGAGCCCAGAAACTAGTTAGCATTTTAGCACTTCCTGTTCCCTCGTCCCTTGTCCTGAAATCAGGTTGTGTTTAACACAAACTCCAGAGGTTTCACGATTTATTCTACGACATAATGCATCATGCATGTTGTACACTGGGCTCAACTCAGTGGTTAGTTTGCTGGCTAGACATGATTAGCAAGCTAGCTACTATGTCAACAATGCTAACAGGCTGATCTGCAGTCGCCAGTTGGCTAGCAGTTTGGCTCGCCTAAGTCATTAGCTCGCTAGGTAGGAAATACACAAAATACAACTCCTACTTTTAATGACTTATTCAGAGTGAATAATGCAGATTTAAAAACGTGTCAGTAACATAAACTGTTTTATGTCACACAGTTTATTTTCTGTAATAATTTTCTGTTTTTTTCTTGAGGGAACCAGAGCGATGCTAACATGTAGGCTAGCTTACAAAAATCAGAGGACGTATTACAACCTTTTGTGTTATAAACACAACAATGGCTGAAGCTCTTCAAACTTCCAAACAGCTCCTTTAAAAGTTAATGGATTTCTGCTGTGACACTTCCTGGTGTGACTGGACACAGTGTGAATGGACACTGTGTGAATCCTCTCAACAGATTTCAAACTGAGTGGCATGAAATGAGGATTTTGGACATGAAGGGTCAGGGTTTAGTTCAGGAGCATCACAGTAAGTTCGTAGGACAGGAAGAGGAAGTAGGAGGCCGGTATGTTCCAGTGATCAGCAGCTGTTTGGTTGTAGTGGTGGTGTTCTGGATTACAGAAGGTTATATGTTAATCTCACTACTTTAAAAGATCAGATTAAAGGTCACACACACACACACACACACACACAGCGTCTGCGGGCTCAGACCAACTCGTCGAGCCGTCTGCAGCTACAGGCCGAGGTGTTCCCGCTCTTTGAGGTTTCGTTTCATCAGACCGGATTCATTCAAACTGAAGTTTTTAAGTCAGGGTTTTATTATTGAGCTTCCAGCTGCAGTCGGGGCATTAAAACAACATTCCTGCTGACTCTGAGTCAGGCGTTGACTGAGGGAATACACCTGTCAGCGAGCTTTAAAGAAAAACAAAACAAAAAAAAAAAGCATTGTTCCTATTGGCTTAGCCAGCTATGATGTCATAGTGACAGCATTTCTTTCCCAGCACTGAAAAGAAAAATCAGGAGACAGTTTGATCGCAGTCACTCAGTCTGATGTTGAGCATCACATCCAGCAGCTAGCAGCTAATTCCCACTGAAATAAAGAGGATCAGGTCAAATGTGAAAAAAATATTGAAAAACAAATTCTGACATTTAATCTCAGAATTCAGATTTTAAAGTGATTGGTTTCTTTTTAAAATGGCCTCAATCGTCTTCCGTACCTGCCAGCGATGAAAGCTACCACAGCTGAATCCATCCATCAGATGAGGTTAGTAATTCAACCTTCAGCTTTACTTTACAACTTCAGGCTTTAATGCCGACGTCTTTTCAAAATAAAATGCTTTGGAGGAAAGACCTCGAACCCTGAATGTCCCAGGACAAAAAGGACGTCTTCCAGTGGAGTTGTGGGAGTTACGTGATGGTGTTGCACAGAATCTCTTAAAACGTTTTCGTAGTTGAGGAAAAAAAATAAGTGAAAGAGATTTTACTGTTTCCATGGAGACCGATGATTTGCTGCCATTAGCACTTGGGATACCTGTTTATCACTTGTGGGAAGCAGCTAACGTTAAAGAAGTGCGTCACTATCTCGTCCTCAAATTGTTTTGACGGGAACTTCACCAGGTGAACTTTGGCCTCTAAGGTCTTTTGTGCAACAATTTAAGGGATTTCTTAAGTATATTAAAAGATAAGGAGAAAACTTTAAACACTTAAGTGAACATTTTAAGGAGAAAACTTAAGGGTGTTTTGTGCAACTGTTGGATGAATTTTATTTTAAGGAAACCTTAATTGAGACTTTAAGGAAAAGCTTAACTCAAGGTGTTTTGTGCATTGACCTGCACCAAACGATTCATGAGCAGGTCTCACCTGAACAGCTGACAGGTGAGACTGAATCACATGAGGCTGTCCACAGACTTTCAAAATAAGATGTCAGACTGTTTCAAACCTGTTGTTGATTTTCTCCTCCGTTCCTTCTGGCTGTGATGAAACTGTCTCCTTGTTTTTTCTTCCTAGTTCAGCAAAAGCCACTGCCCTGTTTTATCTAAGTACACCGCGCACACACACACACACACACACACACACACTCCTGAGGGATTCTTGCTGTGTAGAAGAACAATAATAACCTTCAAACCGGAGCTCAGAGACACGTCGACTGAACCCCGTCTCTGGTTTGTCCACTCAGCAGGTTGTAGACATTTAGCGTTGGCTAGTGTTGCTTAGTGACCAAATGATGTGCAGCTATTTTTTAACCTACATAGAGAAGTGGCATGTTTGTTATTAAAATCTAAAATGTAAAAATCATCCATCAGTATGTGAATGTTGAAAAGAAAATGATCTATTTTCACCATCGAAAAGACGAAAAGAGACAAAATGGACAAACTCTCCTGGACTTCTCTGAGGTTTCTGAAACTGAAGAATGATGGGAAATCACTGGACATGTATCACCTGGACACCAACACAGACCTGAAGTGAACTGAACTGATGACACTTCAGTGCATCTGTGACGACTTCAGCACCTGTAGTTATATATCTATGAAGTATTAATGTCCACCAGCATCATATCTGATCTCCATAAACGTGGAGAGGTTAAATCTAAACCTGCACTGCAATAGAACTAACGAATAGTCGACTTGTTTAACACGTGTAAGTGATTGAAAGCAGCACAGGTGTTGGTTCATCACTGAACCTCAGTTAAAGGTGCAATATGGAGGATTTAATGTGTCAATAAATCAAAGTTGGATGGATACAGATCAATCAGTGTAATGACTGTAAACCAATGAGACAACTTTCGTCTGAATTTGGTTCAGATTAGAGTCTTGCAGAAAAGAAGATCGGCCATGTTTTCAAATTTTCCTGCAGAAGGCTGATGTTTCGCCTTCGTCGGTCACGTTTCAGCTTCAGCTGAATTATTGAGGAGTGACTTTAAATGTTAACGGGTGTGTTTGTTATCTGATGAAGTCTGATTGAATCCTCGCTCAGCTTTGACAGTCATGTAAAACCTCACAGTTCAATTTTCAGGTAGTTCATACATCAAACTTTCCGACAGTAAAAACAAGTCGAGCTGAAACGATCATTTCTCATGTAAAACATCAAAACTTTAAAAGCTCCAGCTTCTTAAATTTGAAGATTTGCTGCTTTTCCTTTTAATTATTGTGATAATTTAAATTTTGATTAATTTGAAGTTTGGGCTGTTGGCCGGACAAAACAAGAACTGTGAAGGTGTCACTTTTGGTTTTTGGTAAAGTTTACAAACCAATAATAAAAATAATCATCAGTCTCCACCTCCACCAGCTGATGACCATTTAATCTAATAATATCTAATAAAAGATAATGATATATAATCTAATGATATAAAATTTACTTACTTTAATACTTTAAGTGCACCTATGGAAGCCCTGAGAGGCAAGTGATTTTTTTGTTTGTTTGTGCAATACTCATTTCAGCCACAAGAGGCTGTCATTTTTTTGTTTGTTTTTTTTTTAGTTTTCTGGGGCTTTTTTTGGGAAATATTTTATTTTGTAATACTGATTCATGTTTTTTTCCGGCTGATTTTTATTTTATTTTATTTTCATTTTAAAATTTTAAAATTTTAATTTTTTTAATTTCAATTTAATTTTCTTTAGTTTTCTTATTTTTATTTTATTTATTTATTTATTTTTAAACAATATGAGTATTAGAAAAACGAAGACAGAAAAAATGAATGAATAAATTAACGTCTCAAAGCTTCCATATTTCCCTGTTTATTCTTATATACTAGTTCTTCCACTGAACTCCAGCAGATTTCCCTTCTGACCTGGCGGTTCACCTTGTGAAGTTTTAAATTAGCGGCTGACGGTCTGTTCTCATGTGTTTACAGTCATTATGTTGTTTTTGTATTAAGGTGAATTATTGAAGGTCAAACGAGACTCTGCACCTTTAAATCAGCAGCTCAGACCTGTGCCAGGTGTGAACGCAGCTCTCTAGAGTCTGTCAGACATGAATTCACTCTCACTGTAAAATCACCGCCGTCACGTCCCGCGTCACGCACCGCCACGTCTGCCTCGCCACCACACGCTTCCTGTGTCCGTGGAAGGACGAGACTGAAGAAACAGAAGTGTGTGAAGATGTTGTCAGTCGGAGTGAGCGAGCATCAGTCACTTTACGTTGAGATGATTTACTTTCTTCTTTCTGTTGATTTTCTGAGGAATGATTCTGATGATACTGAGAGGATTTCAGCTTTGTTCTGATTGGTTGTGTTTTAGTGAGAGACAGGAAGTGGGTTGCTGTGACTAACACCATGAAGACACAAAGATTGTTCCATGTTTTGTTTTTTTTCTTTTTGTACATTTTGAGGTGTTTTATTGTTTTTATTGAATTATTTTAAGAGGCGGGGCGACTTCGTGGAGCCGTGTCGCTGTCGACGCTTCTGATAGGCTGATGCAACTGCCGTATGCATGATGTCATGATGATGATGTCATATTTTTATTTAACCTTTATTTAAATAGATTCATATAAGGACACAGTTGCAGGGTCCTGGCTCAGAGGCGCGGCGGGTGGTACTCTGGATTTGGACTCTGAGGTCAGACTGAGGTCAAAGGTCAGACTGAGGTCAGACTGGTTGACAGTGACTCGCCTGTCTGAAGCCGCCCTGCTGCTGTACATACAGAACCACTGAATGACAATATAATTATTGTTGTTGTTGTTTTCATATCTGGATGCAGGTGATGTAACAGATGAATGGTGATGTGAATGATTAACCATGAGTTATAATAAAGAGCATTTCTATTTGCTTTGAGCAGACTGTGTTCAACTTCCTCCTCGACTCTGGATTCACACGATGAACCACAGAAAGCTCCAGGTTTTATTTCATTCTGACAGTTTCACTCACAGACTGAATCTTATTCACTAAGAGGAGGAGGAGGAGCCAGGGTTCTCTGGAGCGCTGTGATTGGTCGGCCCAGCTGTGACGAGGTAAGAAGCTCTACGAACGTTCTCCAGGAGCGACGGAGAACACGTCGTACGAACCTCTTCTTTTCCAGTGACAGCCATGCTAGCAGCTCTGTGATGCTAACCCTGTCTGCTACACTTCATTTACAAGAGCAGATACATTAGAAGGAAACCAGACCAGATCATGCGTCTGTTAAGATAATGAGGAAATGTTCATTAACGTATTTATTTGGTAGGTCACTAACATGTTGACATTGAACGTATCAGGAAATCCTCCTGTAGTGACTCCAGCTTCATTAAACTGGTTCTGGTTCGGTTCTGACTCTGACAGATCCTGGTTCAGGTTTAACGCACGTTAACGTTTATTTCCGTGACCTGAACCAGAATGCTGCTGCTGTCTGAACCACAGACGGAGCTCTGGATGTGAACTCTGGTCAAAACAAACAGAGAGAAAAGAAAGGAAAAGAACACGATGCAGTTTAACGTCTCATCGGGCTTCATTCACCAACCTTTCATTAGAGGACATTTACACACTGTCAGTTTTCTTATGCTGGATTTGTTCTGAGGTGAGAGCAGAATCTACACACACTCCAGAGTCTCACGAGTTCTGACGTGTTTGAGAAAAATAAGTGGTTACTGCGTTTTCTTCTCTTCTACAGTTCTATGATATTATATTATTTAAATTACAATAATATTTTTGTCATGTATAATATTTTTTTTAATAAGTTTTGTTATTTTACAAAGCATTATGGTCTTTTAAAATGAATTACATCTTTCTGTCTGCGGGGGGTTTGGATTGTTTGAAATCTGGTTCACAGCAGCTTCGAGGTTATAAAACTGAAACTTCAATAAAACCTGGAAACACGGGGGCAATGAAATAACTTTGTGAACCTACAGATTCAGTGAGCATGTTGTCTTTGACTCCCTCTCCCTCCCTCCCTCCCTCCCCTCATACATAATGAGTGTGCTGGTCCGTCCTCTCTCTCCTCCCTCATCAGAGGCGGGACTCGACTCCTTCACACACAGTTCACTGAGGAGAGAGCAGCAGGACGAGTCGCTCTGTGGTTTGATGGTTCGGACTCTTCAGCAGAGAAATGAGACTGAGGATCGGCAGCGACTGAAGCCACAGACATGGACAAACAGAAAGGTACCGACCTCATCACACACCTGTTCACCTGCCGACTGTAGGACAGACAGAGAGCTCAGGGCCGCTGAGGTTTCACTGTCGCCGTCCAGATGTTTCACATGGGAGAAAAAGACTTTTACATTTAATACAAATCTGTGTCTGGGACAATGATCTTATCTCTCGTCTGTTCTGTGCATCACATGGAAAACATTCACAGGAAGACGATCTGTGAGTTCATGAAGTTTTATATTTTAGATGTGAAACAGTAGAAACACAAATGTCACCTTTGACCTTTTATAAGAGCTGATGTGAGTTTACTGATCTATGTGTGAGTTGTGGTAATTACGCTTTTTACTGTAGCATTTACAAGCGGCGTACAAACGTGTAATAAATGGTTTTTAACAAAGTTATAATCAGATATAAAGACATTTTAAGTGTTTCATCATGTGTTTGTACAGCAGCTTCCACAGAGTCAGAGCTGCTAACGAACACAGTGATGAACTCTGAGATCTGCTGCTTTACAGTCTGTTAGAAACCAGTCGTTATTTACACGTCCCAGTCCAGTCTCAGTCTCTAAGGGATTTAAAGCATCATCGTCTGCGTTATCAATAATGTTACACATAATAATAAGAGAGGGAGTGAAAAATAAAATAAAGATTGTTCACGAGTCACAAATCTCCAGTTGAGTCGAGTGTCAAGTCGCTGTAGCTGCGTCCCAATTGGCAGGAAGTGGTCGACGAGCTTACTGTAGCGTCGCAGAAGCGCGGCTTTCACAAAAAAACTTTTAGTTTTGCGTCTCTTGGTTTTAACAGTCGACCCATCAGCTGTTGCTCTGAGCTGAAACACAACCCTGACATTTTACAGTGTGATCCTCTCTGTTGGTGTTTGCTGACCAGTTACATCACAGCGACCACACTGTCCCATTTCAAACGCGTCCTTCTCTTCCTGGACAACGAAGGCTCCAACAGGTGGATCCTTCATGGTCCAACATATCCCAGGATTCATTGCTCTCCAGTAATGAAAGCAAACAACACCAACATGGCGCCGGAGGATCACACTGTTGTTGTGTTTCAGCTCAGTTCAACAGCCAACGTTACAACTGTTAAAACCAAGAGACGCAAAACAAAAAGTGTTACTGAAAAAAAGTGTTGTCCGGGTTGCTAGGCGACGGGATCCATGTTTTGGACGCAATGGTAAGTCCTCCGTAGACCAGAGCGTCTGGTTTCAGTTCGGCCTTCGTGTCTACGAACTGCCACACCTTCGAGTCCTTCCCTGAACTGAGACACAACGTCAAACCTGTTGATGTCACGAATTCCTACAAAATATATTCATTCGTTCATCAGATGAAAACAGGTCATTTCACTCAGAGGTGTGACAGAGTAAAGTGCTGTCAGCGCCCCCCACAGGCAGCAGGGTTCGTCACAGCCTCGGTACCGATCCACTACGTCCTGATGGTTCACAGTCGTCAGGTGGAGGAAAGGTCATGGGGTCATTAGGGTTCAAACTCTCACTAATTTAGATGAGACGAGAGCTGGATATTTCTGTTGAGAGGTCTCACTCTGATGTAAAATGTTGAACCGACGTATGGAGTCAAACCTCTGTCATCATCAGTTACACCCAGTGACCCGTCCGTCTGCTTTATCACAACGATGGTATGTTAACTACAGCTACACAACAATCGGAAACACCCGTCTGTCCTCCTGCTCCTCCTCCTCCTCCTCCTCATCATCATCATCACTTCCTCCTCCTGCTGCTCTCAGGAGACGGAGCTAATAGACTGTTTACATTCAGTAGATCTGTGTGTGTGTGTGTGTGTGTGTGTGTGTGTGTGTGTGTGTGTGTGTGTGTCTCTAGACCGACAATTTCAGCATTTTTCTCTCATTACAGCTCTGACTAACGGCTGCAGTTAGTTTGAGTGTCGTGACTTCAGCGTTACCAAATTAAATCTGAGATTTTTTTATTTCATTTTCAGTTTGAAAAAAACTGATGAAATAAACCAATTAGATATAAATTATTAATGTGTTAATAAAGTTTTTTTTGTCTGTCACAAGTCGATGAGTTTCCAAACAGCTGTGTCCTGGCAGAGGAAAGTTTTCACCACTGTTACTGTTCCATGTTAAGACTTAGAGACTCCGTACAGCTGCAGAGCTTCACTCACAATCCTCCTGTTTTTAAGTTTCCATCCAGGGATAGTTGTCTGTACGTCCATGACACACTGCGAACAGGAAGTGGTAGTACTGAATTCAGCTCATTCATTTTTTAATTTGAACAAATAGAAGCCAAAGGGACTCAGTTTTATTCCACAGGAGACAAACAACGATTCATGCAGAATGTGAACGTTAAGGTCTGTTAGTGGTAGGAGTTAACGTCTACCCCAAAATGTTTATATATATATACAAGCTCATAATTTTTTTAACATTTAAAATACAGATGTTTTCTAATACAGCTGTTGAAGAGTGAAGATGATCACAGCTGTGAGTCACAAACAGCAGCTCAGTATATAAATGTTTCTGCTGTCCTATATTTACCAACCAGATGATGAAAGAGAAAGCTGCTCCACACCCTGCAACACACACACACACACACACACACACACACACACACACACACACACACACACACACACACACACACACACAGTATGGTGGAATCCCATCTTTCAGCTAATTTGAGGGTTTGGTTTTTATGGTAAAGCATCTTATACAGCACTAAAATACACACACACACACACACACACACACACACACACACACACACACACACACACACACACACACACACACACACACACACACACACATAGGTTTTTAACTTCGGTCTGTTACAGGATGTTTTTTTCTTTCTTTCAAAGCAGCTTTTACTGAAAGAAAAGAGAGAAATGTGAATGATGAGAAGTTGTTTATTACAAACACATTTTATTTTCCCGTCTGTGCACCGACGTCTTTTGGTCTCATCAGTTCAGGTTCAGTGCAGACGTGTGTGTTCTGTGTATCCACAGTGAAATAACAGCGACTCAGGTTGTTTGTTTACCTGTTTATTTGAACTGACAATTAACTGAGGCAATTACAATCACTTTATAAGACATAAGCACAGATTCATGTCTAAGTCTAGTTACTGAAAGATGAATAAGGAGGACGTGTGTCCAGGTTTTATAGTAGTTGTGTAGTTTTTGATTGATTTGTTGTTGCTACCAGAATGAGATCATTGTGTAATTGTGTGTGTGTGTGTGTTTGTGTGTGTTTGTGTTTGTGTGTGTGAGTGTGTGTGTGTTCTGCAGCATCAAAGCCGGAGACAGGAAGTGAAGTTGATGCTCAGATAAGCAGCGTTCAGTAACACAAACTCCGTCTGTCTGTGTGAACCGTGTCTCCTGGTCTCTGAGCAGCACAGTGTTGTTGTTGTGTTGTTGTTGACGTGCTGTGGGTGTGCGAGGTATGTACGGCTCCCTGTTTAAAAACAGCAGCCGGCCGATAAGCAGAGCCGTAGGATCCTTAAAATCAGCAGCGAGGAGTTAATCAGAAACATTTAACCTCCGTCTCCCACTCAGCTCCGAGCGAACGCACTCGCTCTGTCCGTCTGAATGGAGCTGCAGCAACAATCAGCGACTGTTTCCACCGTGTTCGCTCTGCATTTCTCACATTTCCCCTCCCTCTGATGATAATTCAGGCTGTTCAGGGATCAGCTCAGTCACACTTCATTCATTCAGTCCAGCTCTGTCCCAACAGCAGCAGAAAACAACGCTTCACGTCAGTCCTCATTTTTCATATAAGAATAGTCTCTGTTATGATTCAGAGAAACTAAAAAATAAACAGATGATATGAGGTTGTTCCAGAAGTCTTTCAGAAGGTTCTAGTGGTCATTGATCAAGGGGTTCTTGAAGTTGTCCATTAGGAGGTTTTGGCGGTTATATAGCAGAAGTCTTTTGGGACGTTCTAGTGGTCAGAAATTTGACTTTTCTTAATGAGGTTCCAGTCATCCTTAAAGTGGTGATATAAGAGGTTCTAGGGGTGGTTTAGGTGGTTCTGGTGGTCAGAAATATTGGTGTTTTTGGAGGTTCTTGTAGTGCCTGAAGTGTTTTTGTAGTCATGTAGGAAGTTCTAGTGTTTACTGAAGATGTTCTAGTGAGGGGAGTCTCCTGAGGAGGTTCTAGTCGTCCTTAAAGACATTCTAGTGGTGATGTAGGAGGTTCTAGTGGGTGGTTAACGTGGTCAGAACCTTGGCTATGGAGGTTCTTTTGGAGATTCTTGTAGTTCCTGAAGTGTTGTAGTTGGTTCTAGTTGTCCATCAGGAGGTTTCCGTGGTCATGTAAGAAGTTCTAGTGTTTACTGAAGATGTTCTAGTGGGAGGCGAATCTTGAGGAGTTTCTAGTTGCCCTTAAAAGATGTTTTATTGGTGAAGCAGGAGGATCTAGGGGTGGTTTAGGTGGTTCTGGTGGTCAGACGGAGGTTCTAAAGTTCCTTTTGGTGGCTGTAGTGATCCTTTACATGGTTATAGTGGTCATTACGGAGGTTCTCATCACTGAAGAGTGATCATTAATAGGGTTGTTTTAGGTGGTTTTAGTTGTCTGGAGGAGGTTCTTGTCGTCCTTAAAGTCATTCTAGTAGTCATATTAGAGTGTTAGGTTCCTCCTGGTGGTTCTAGTGATCCAGGGTGATAGCGGTCCTTGAGGAGATTTTATGGTCATTTAGTATGTCCTAGTTAAGGAGGTTCAAAGTGTCTTTTAGATGGTTGTAGTTTTGAAGGTTCTGGTGGTCCATGGTCAATGTCCTGTGGGTGGTTCTGGATGCGGTCCTAAGGAAGTTTGCCGGGTCCTTTTGGTTGTTTTAGAAATCACGAAGAGCTGCTGCAGGTAGTTCCAGGAGTTCTCTTCATCCTTTAGGATATTGAATTGATCCAGGTTCTAGAGATTGTTTAGGATGTGCCAGGAGTCACCGAAGAGGTTCTAGTGCTGTAGGTGGTTCTTATGGTCAGTGCAGAGGTGGTTCTAGAAGTTGTTTCGGTTAAAGGAGGAGGTTGCAGAACTTTTTTAAACAGATCAAACATCAGTCAAATCAATGAAAAATTCCCTGTTTGTGGAGAATTTTCTGTCAGTGTTTGTTCAGTATCATTTTTTACTTCCTGATTCCCAATTTTGTGCAGGGACCTTGAGTTTTTAAGTGACATCACACCACACACACACACACACACAAACACACACACACACACACACACACACACATACTGTGTCTTTATTCTGTGTTAAACATTAGCAGCATCCAGCAGCTTATCAGTGTGTATCCTGTCACATCAGTTAACATGTCAGGGTCAGAACGTCTGGGAAACTTTACCTGAACAGGTACAGAGCGTCATTATTCACTCATTAACAGACGAATTCACCTGAACTGTTCTGGTTTTAAATCAACAGCTGCTTTTACAACAAACGTCACATGAAGTTTTCTGTTGCTTAAATTTAGTTTTTAGTTTTTCATTTAATTGAACGTCTTTTAATTTGTTGAGAAAAGATAAAAAGTTTTCCCATTCACTTCAACACAGAGTTTAATCACAGCAGCATCTAGTGGTCATTAGAGGAGCTGCACCTGAACGCACCTCAGTTTTGACCACAACACTTGAACTAATTGATATAAATGGTAATACTTCATTTAAAGTCCCAATTTTTCATTAAAAGTGTTTCAATACAGAGACTAATGATGGACAGACACTAAATCTGAGTTATTGTTTGTGATCATTCATTTATTGCATAAATAAGGACGTAACAACACAAACCTAGATATTACTGGAGTGTGTCAAAGGTGCTAATATATATCAAGAGCTCCGTCCACAGGAACGAAGGAAAGTTACTAAATAAGAAGAAGAAGAACATCAAAATAGTTAAATAAATAATAACAATTACAAAACATGAACAAACAAATAAATAAAAATAAATCTGAGTTTTTAAACTTTTGTGATGCTTTTGATTTTACCTATTTGTTTCCACATAAAGAAATATAAATACTATAAAAGCTCGACAGACACATGCGCCTTTATGTATTAACTATATATTAAATATATACTTTCATGTGAATTAAAAACAGAAGCCTGTGCAGGAAATGTAACTGAGGTCAGTAAATAATGATAAATAAAATTATTTATATGCTTATAAAAAAATGAGCAAAGATCACTTTTTATTGTGTTGAATGTTTATACAGATGATTTTCACCTGACTTTCAGGGTTTCTGTGTAAAATAATATTGAATAATATTAATTTGTAGTTTAGTTTAATCTTTTTCTTTCTGCATCGTAGCTGCTATGATTCATTTTGTTTATAGTTTTTTTTTCAGATAAATTAAATTTACAAACAAAATACAACAAACACTAAAGTTAAAAGGTTCAGTCTGTCACCATGACAACGTCACAACCTCCAAGATACAGTCACAAAACTTTACAGGTGTAGGTGAGATTGAAATAGTTGATGTCTCTGGTTTTATTCACAGGAAAAGTGAGAATAATATTTTCCAGGAGTTAAAGATTAAAGACGAGATGAGACAGAAATAAAGACAGTTTGTCTCTGTGTGTGTGTGTGTGTGTGTGTGTGTGTGTGTGTGTGTGTGTGTGTGTGTGATACTGTAATCAAACATGAGTCCTGGCTCTGATCCACTGTCAACAGATGACTCAGTGTTACATAGATCAGATAAAGTCTTCTTCACTCTTCCCCTGACGTTTCCTCTGTGACTCTGAGAGCTGGTGGAGGAAGAACTCAGATACTTTCACTTCATTTTTTGATTTCACACAAATCAGAAATCAAAATAGAATACAAACATAATGACAGTAATGGGTGAAAATGGGACACCACAATAAACTTCAAAAACTGCCTTTACAAATATTATTTCAGCCACAAAACACCTCAATCCTAAAACCCTAAAGAGAAAAACTGACTGATCGAAAACATCTGTCCCATCAGTCCCATCGAAAACATCTGTCCCATCAGTCTATATGTCAGTTTAATGGGCAAGATACACAACCAGCAATAAATGGCAGATAAAAAATAACAATAACAGTCGTAGCTCAGTAGAGAAACCAAGTCTCCATCTTTCAGCGAACACAAATTCTAGTAGCAACTGCTGCTTTCAGTACTTTACTTTACCCCAGTAAAAGTACTTATACTCTGTAAAAGTTATGCATTAAAAATGTTACCTAAGTATGTAAGTATAATCAAAATATACTTAAAGTGTTAAAAGGAAACGTACTTAATGCAGAAACGTCCCATGTGACTGTTACACCATCATATATAGATTATTATCACTGATACATTCATGTAAAAGCAACATTTTACTGATGTAGTTGGTTTTATTTATTTTGTACAGGACTGAAACTAATGATTATTTTCATTATGGATGAATTTTCTGATTATTTTCTCCATGAATTAATTGATTATTTTGTTTCTAAAAAAAATCCAAAAATAAAATCAATTTAAAGATGAACAGATAAATTAAAATTATTAAAAAGAAAAGCAGCAAAATTTCTCACTTGAGAAGCTGGAGCCATGAAAAGTCTTTAAATGATTATTAAAATTGTGTTAATTAACTAATGGATTAGTTAATTGACCAGTTTTTTCAGCTCTTCTTTCATCAGCATGTTTATTATCATATTTGTGTAATAAGTAATTAAGGTATCATTAGTAAAATGTAAAGAAATGTACTGGAGTAGAAATGTAAAGTAACATAAAAAGAAAAGTACTTCAAAATGTCACATTAAAGCTCCGTGTTTCTTCTTCTGTGTTTTATTTGAAGTGTTGATCCATCAGAAGATATAAAAACCATCTCAGTGTAGTTTTACATCTCCTCTCTCAGGCTTCTCTCTGGAGCTCTAGTAACAACAGGTCGGTGAGCCAATCAGAAGAGAGGAGGCTCTGAGCCTCTCTTCTGATTGGCTGACTGTTTTCTGAGTGATCCAATAAAAATAAAGCAGACTCCAGGTAAAAACACTCAGAGAAACCAAATCCTGCAAGGTTTGGATGGTGGGTCCAGGTGGGCGGGGCTTGGTGACTGCTTTGTTGTGACATCACAAAGTTCCAGAAGTCCTGACGGCTGGTTTTAAGGCTCAGTTTCTGAATACAGGCTGTGTGCATTTCTCTGTGGACTGAGGCTTTGATACTTTCACAGTATTAAGATAGAGTCTGTCTGTCTGTCTGTCTGTCTGTCTGTCTGTCTGTCTGTCTGTCTGTCCTCAGTTCTGGCCAAGCTGATCTGGGATCTGCAGTCCTTCCTGTCTGTTCTGGACTCAGAGAATCTGAGTTACATCGCTCAGGCTCAGAAGAAATCCATCTCAGAGCTGCTGTCCAGACTGCAAACACACGACACTCCAGGTACTAGTACTACTGATACTACTACTACTGATACTACTGATACTACTGATAGTACTACTGCTTGTGCGGAATAAGATAACTCTGAGAGACACAACAACATTTCGAGCTGTGACTGTTGTTTTGAACCTCCGGGCCTCCGTAGATAAAACTGCTGCTGTAACTTCAGAGTCTGTTTGACATTTGAAACACAGTGAAGTTAAAGCTGCTGTTCACTGATACACGTGTGTGTGTGCGTGTGTGCGTGTGTGTGTGTGTGTGTGTGTGTGTGTGTGTGTGTGTGTGTGTGTGTGCATGTGCGTGTGCGTGTGCGTGTGCGTGTGTGTGTGTGTGTGTGTGTGTGTGTGTGCGTGTGTGTGTGTTGTGTTTCCAGTGGAAGATGCTGAGTACATGATCATGAGCTGTCCATCATCGTCTCCTAGCAACGAGCTGACAGACACACCTGGGACAGGTAATGCTGTTTTCTGATGTTTGTATGTGTGAAGATCCAGTCGAGTTAAAGTGAAAGTTTGTTTGTTTGTTTGTTTGTTTGTTTGTTCAGATGATGTCCGGTCGTCTGAGCTGGACTCAAAGCAGGACTCATCTCTCTGGCTGAGGAACGGGGTGAGTCACCACACACACACACACACACACACACACACACACACACACACAGACAGTTCATAGGCAGCTCGTTTACATTGAGCTCATTTATTTGCAGATGTGGAGGAAAGTAACTAATTACATTTACTCCAGTAGCTCGAGTTAATATTGAACATTTCACTGCACTTCAGTCACTTTCCAGCGGTTGTCNACACACACACACACACACACACACACACACACACACACACACACACACACACACACACACATAGCTGCTAGCACCTGTCCAGAAAAGTAATTCGATTTTTAGAAAGAAACTAAAGGGGGAGGAGGGAGCTGGTCTGTGATGTGGGTCAGTAATGACAGACTGAGTCCTTCTGAGGTTTGGGAGGAGATGGCAGGGTTACTGTGTGTGTGTGTGTGTGTGTGTGTGTGTGTGTGTGTGTGTGTGTGTGTGTGTGTGTGTGTGTGTGTGTGTGTGTGTGTGTGTTGGAGGGAGTGACAGGATCTACAGTGTTTACATATGAAGCCATCTCCTCTATATCTGTCGTCCCATTGGCTGAGAGCTCTGCAGAGAGAGGAAGTGGTCACTGATGGCGGCTGATTAGCATCTGGTCTACGTGATGGATGGACAGAACACACACACACACACACACACACACACACACACACACACACAGACAGTTCATAGGCAGCTCGTTTACATTGAGCTCATTTATTTGCAGATGTGGAGGAAAGTAACTAATTACATTTACTCCAGTAGCTCGAGTTAATATTGAACATTTCACTGCACTTCAGTCACTTTCCAGCGGTTGTCATGGTGACCTCTCAGATTAACACTTCACATAAATCAACATAATAAAAGGAGAAGCTTGTGGTTTGCCTCCTGCTGCAGTGACAGGGTGAAGTTCACACGTGGCTCTAAAGCTCCACTTCCTGTTTGCTCTTCTCTTACATCCAGGGCCCCACGGTGCCGCCCCACCCTCCAGGAGGTCTAGGAGCTGATGATGATGAAGACACCTATGAGGAGGCGGAGCCCTACGTACCTGCTGACACGACCACGTCCAACACTGGTACCTACACACACACACTCACACACACACACACACACACACACACACAGAAACGTGTTAACGTACCAAAGATGACGGTGACCTTCATCTCCAGAGAGGGCGGAGTCAGACAGCAGTCACTACGAGTCGTACGGCGAGGAGGATGATGATGATGGGGACAGGGGGGGGCTGGTGAAGGACAGAGCTCACTACCTGCAGTGGAGCGCCTCTCAGCCCTGCCTTCGCCCCGCCCCCGAGTCCCGCCTCTGTGGATACCTGTGGAGGAGGAAGTGGCTCGGACAGTGGACCAAACAGCTGTTCATCATCAGGAACAGCATGCTCCTGGTGAGTGAGTGTGTGTGTGTGTGTGTGTGTGTGTGCAGCAGTACCTCTAAAGTCCACCAGAGGCTGCTGTGATCCATTCATGAATCCACCATCACTGATATATCTGTGTGTGTGTGTGTGTGTGTGTGTGTGTGTGTGTGTGTCAGTGTTATAAGTGTGCGCGGGACCTGCTGCCTCAGCTGGAGCTGAACCTGCGCGGCTGTCACCTGGTCTACAAGTCGAAGAGAGACGGGAAAATCCAGCACCAGCTCAAACTGGTTCTGCTGGGCTCCGAGTCTCTGGTGCTGGGATACAACAGCTTCGAGCAGGCCGACGAGTGGAGGAGGGTCAGCACACACACACACTCACACACACACACACACACACACACACACACAGTTCTTCTTCCACCACTACTCTCTTAAAACTGCTTTAAAACCCAAATACTTTAAAGACTATGAGAAACATGAATTTGAAATCAATTTTATAAATTTTAAATGTATCAGAACTTACACACGACTACCTTGAGATTTTATATTTATATATATAAATATATGTAATGTACATACAGTAGTTACTGTGTGTGGTTGTTGTGCAGGTGATAGAGGAGGTGAGTGTTGGAGGTGATGTCGAGACTCAGAGTTCATCGTCTCTGATCAGATCAGACCAGCTGCTGTCCTGCAGGGTGAGAGACACACACACACACACACACACACACACACACACACACACACACACACACACACACACACACACACACACACCTAAAGTCATGTGACCTTCCTGAATCCTTCCATGTCTCTGTCTCAGTCCAGTTCAGTCCAGATTGACTCTGAGGACGACAGACCTTCAGCTCGCCGCGGCCTCCACAAAGACAGAGGTACTGAAACTCTGAGGGTGAACTAATTATTGATTATGTCTTTGAAGTGATCACACGATGGTTCTACATCAGTGTCCGTCCCCGGCTCAGCTCGTCTCTGAGAACATGGACTTGTGACAGGTGAGGTGATCCAGGTGTTTGTTGCCGACAGGTTTCCTGAACGTGCTGATGAACTGTCAGTGGCAGAGTCTGCTGTGTCAGGTGGAGGCCGGTCTGCTCAACATGTCCGCAGAGGAGGAGGAGGAGGAGGAGGAGGAGGAGGAGGAGGGGGGAGGGGGGAGGAAGAGGGAGCGATCTCCTCAGTACACCGTCCAGCTCAGAGGGTGTGAGGTCCGAGCCGGGCCCGACACAGACCACTCCTACAGGATCACACTGAGCATGCTCGGTGACCAGGTGGCTGTGCTGGAGGTGAGTCCACGTGGCCGACAGTGTTTTCTCATAGAGTGAGGCGTTCAGGGAACATTGGTTAATTATACCATCTAACATAGGCTGTGTGTGAGGCGTTCAGGGGACATATTCACAGTGAATAATGTGGTTTTCACTCCTTCATCCCTCCGTCTCTCAGGTCAGTAGTTCAGAGGAGAAGGAGCGGTGGTTGAAGCTGCTGCAGGACGGAGCTGCCAATCACAGTTGCCATGACAACAACAAGGCACAGGAGCACACAGGTGGAGCTCTGAGGTGAGAGTCTGTTAACACGTCCCATACGTATGTTCCGTTCATCAGTGCACGTTGTCATGGTGATAGAGGCGATGTGGGTTATTCCTCCCTCCTCAGTGGGCTGCAGACCCGGAGGTTTCCCGCCTCCAACACCTACATGGACGACCCCTTCCACCTGAGCGGGACGGGCCGGAACCAGCCCGTCTACTCCAACACCTCCATCCTGGAGCACATAGTACGAGTCCTGCAGAACACACCACACTGCAGCTGTGTCCTTCCACAGCTGGATTTTATTATTGTTGTTGTTGTTGTTGTTGTTGTTGTTATTAGTAGTAGTAGTAGTAGTGGTGGTAGTAGTAGTAGTGGTAGTAGTCGTAGTAGTGGTAGTAGTAGTGGTAGTAGTAATTGTAGTAGTAGTAGTAGTAGTAGGGGTAGTAGTAGGAGTGGTCGTAGTAGTAGTAGTGGTAGTAGTCGTAGTAGTGGTAGTAGTAGTGGTAGTAGTAATTGTAGTAGTAGTAGTAGTAGTAGGGGTAGTAGTAGGAGTGGTCGTAGTAGTAGTAGTGGTAGTAGTCGTAGTAGTGGTAGTAGTAGTGGTAGTAGTAATTGTAGTAGTAGTAGTAGTAGTAGGGGTAGTAGTAGGAGTGGTCGTAGTAGTAGTAGTGGTAGTAGTCGTAGTAGTGGTAGTAGTAGTGGTAGTAGTAATTGTAGTAGTAGTAGTAGTAGTAGGGGTAGTAGTAGGAGTGGTCGTAGTAGTAGTAGTGGTAGTAGTCGTAGTAGTGGTAGTAGTAGTGGTAGTAGTAATTGTAGTAGTAGTAGTAGTAGTAGGGGTAGTAGTAGGAGTGGTCGTAGTAGTAGTAGTGGTAGTAGTCGTAGTAGTGGTAGTAGTAGTGGTAGTAGTAATTGTAGTAGTAGTAGTAGTAGTAGGGGTAGTAGTAGGAGTGGTCGTAGTAGTAGTAGTGGTAGTAGTCGTAGTAGTGGTAGTAGTAGTGGTAGTAGTAATTGTAGTAGTAGTAGTAGTAGTAGTGGTGGTAGTAGTAGTAGTAGTAGCGGTAGTAGTAGTAGCGGTGGTAGTAGTAGTAGTGGTAGTAGTAGTAGTAGTGGTAGTAGTAGTAGTAGTGGTAGTAGTAGTGGTAGTAGTAGTAGTGGTAGTAGTAGTAGTAGTAGTAGTGGTAGTAGTAGTAGTAGTAGTAGTAGTGGTAGTAGTAGTAGTAGTAGTAGTAGTGGTAGTAGTAGTAGTAGTAGTAGTAGTAGTAGTAGTAGTAGTAGTAGTAGTAGTAGTAGTAGTAGTAGTAGTAGTAGTAGTAGTAGTAGTAGTAGTAGTAGTAGTAGTAGTAGTAGTAGTAGTAGTAGTAGTAGTAGTAGTAGTAGTAGTAGTAGTAGTAGTAGTAGTAGTAGTAGTAGTAGTAGTAGTAGTAGTAGTAGTAGTAGTAGTAGTAGTAGTAGTAGTAGTAGTAGTAGTAGTAGTAGTAGTAGTAGTAGTAGTAGTAGTAGTAGTAGTAGTAGTAGTAGTAGTAGTAGTAGTAGTAGTAGTAGTAGTAGTAGTAGTAGTAGTAGTAGTAGTAGTAGTAGTAGTAGTAGTAGTAGTAGTAGTAGTAGTAGTAGTAGTAGTAGTAGTGGTATTTTTACTCGGTTGTTAGCAGTTGATAAAGAATCCGTCTGTCTCATTCTTGCAGACGTGATATCTCAGAAACACTTTGACAGAGCTGCCTCAGATTTGGCACAAACATTCACTAGGACTCAAGGATGAACTGATTAGATTTTGGTGGTCAAAGGTCAAAGGTCGAAGGTCAATGTGACCTCTCAAAACACTTTTTAGCCATTACTCAAGACTTCACGGCAATTATGACAAAATTTCACACGAATGGTTGATATTTTCTGTGACTCTGGATAAACAGGGATGTAAGCTGGAACTAGTCTGAGTGGCGGAGGGATACGACCACGAGGAGGTGGTTCTAGTTTTTGTCAGGACGTCAGTGTGTGTTTGCTCCGTGTCTCTTCTCTCAGCTCCACAGCTCTCAGGATTCAGTTCGCTGCAGCTCGGTGTCGTCCAAAGACTCAGCGACCTACAGCAACTCCGTCCACAGCAGCCACAGTGAGTCACATCACAGAACCTTTTAACGCTCGCCGTCGCCTCTCTGCCGGTTGCATCTCCCGCCTTTTAGTTCCGCACTCAGAGATGAGTGGGATCCTGAGAGCCTCGGGCAGCTNTAGTGGTAGTAGTAGTAGTAGTGGTAGTAGTAGTGGTAGTAGTAGTAGTGGTAGTAGTAGTAGTAGTAGTGGTAGTAGTAGTGGTAGTAGTAGTAGTAGTGGTAGTAGTAGTGGTAGTAGTAGTAGTGGTAGTAGTAGTAGTAGTAGTGGTAGTAGTAGTAGTGGTAGTAGTAGTAGTAGTGGTAGTAGTAGTAGTAGTGGTAGCGGTAGTAGTAGTGGTAGTAGTAGTGGTAGTAGTAGTAGTGGTAGTAGTAGTAGTAGTGGTAGTAGTAGTGGTAGTAGTAGTAGTGGTAGTAGTAGTAGTGGTAGTAGTAGTAGTAGTATTGGTAGTAGTAGTGGTAGTAGTAGTAGTAGTGGTAGTAGTAGTGGTATTAGTAGTAGTGGTAGTAGTAGTAGTAGTGGTAGTAGTAGTGGTAGTAGTAGTAGTGGTAGTAGTAGTAGTAGTAGTAGTAGTGGTAGTAGTAGTAGTAGTAGTAGTAGTAGTAGTGGTATTTTTACTCGGTTGTTAGCAGTTGATAAAGAATCCGTCTGTCTCATTCTTGCAGACGTGATATCTCAGAAACACTTTGACAGAGCTGCCTCAGATTTGGCACAAACATTCACTAGGACTCAAGGATGAACTGATTAGATTTTGGTGGTCAAAGGTCAAAGGTCGAAGGTCAATGTGACCTCTCAAAACACTTTTTAGCCATTACTCAAGACTTCACGGCAATTATGACAAAATTTCACACGAATGGTTGATATTTTCTGTGACTCTGGATAAACAGGGATGTAAGCTGGAACTAGTCTGAGTGGCGGAGGGATACGACCACGAGGAGGTGGTTCTAGTTTTTGTCAGGACGTCAGTGTGTGTTTGCTCCGTGTCTCTTCTCTCAGCTCCACAGCTCTCAGGATTCAGTTCGCTGCAGCTCGGTGTCGTCCAAAGACTCAGCGACCTACAGCAACTCCGTCCACAGCAGCCACAGTGAGTCACATCACAGAACCTTTTAACGCTCGCCGTCGCCTCTCTGCCGGTTGCATCTCCCGCCTTTTAGTTCCGCACTCAGAGATGAGTGGGATCCTGAGAGCCTCGGGCAGCTTGTCTGTTCCAGAGGCTGAGAGCTAAAGAGGACAGAGAGTTTACAGTCGAACGATCTTCCTGAGGAAATCAGGTCGGCTGAGTCTGTAACCTCTTTCAAGACTCTTCCTAAAACACACTTCTATCGGAGGTGTTACCTTCCCTTGACTTGCTTTATGTCTCTTAACCTTTGTGTCAACGATGCAACTTCTTTCCAGCTCATTACTCTGACTTTTACACAATTTTATGGTCAATAAACCTCATTGTTGAATTATCTGACCACAGTTACAATCAGAGGAACACAGATGTTTTAAATTTGAATAAAGCACCAAAACTTCAGTGAAAATAGTGATCATTAATATCATTTGCAAAAAGTGTTGTAAGGACCCCTCCATGTTAATTTCAGCCGATTATGTGAAATCTATTGATTTAACTGATTTTATTTTTTGCTCTTTGTCGATCACTTTGTAACATAGTGTTTGAAAAGTTCTCTATAAATAAAGAGTATTATTATTATTATTATAAAACCCTCCTTCATGTCACGGCCTGGAGACATGGCTGCGTGTAACATTAACATCTCATGGAAGTTGCTTTTTGGCCGGCAGGGACAAAACTACATTTCCCAGAACACCTGTGGCCGTGAGAAACAGATCTGTGTCTCCTCTGACGATTCGTGCAGGAATATCTTTGGTGAACGACAGTCAAGTGTCTGACTGTGCAGGACAAGTTAACAGTCTCTTTAACGTGTGTGTGGCTGTGGCTTCAGACAGGTACGCAGGTGAGGTGGAGCGAGGCGTCCAGAAGCTGGAGCTGACCATGAAGAGGACGGTGCAGCTGAGGGCGGGGTCGGAGATCAACCTGGCGTCGGCCGGGAAGCAAAACAAACGCACCTCTTTTAGACAGTCGCTGGCCATCTGCACTGAGCGCGCTCAGGTGGGAGGAGCTTCCACAGTCAACACACCAACACTCAGCTGACTTTAACTTAACCACACCTTTCATAGGATACATGCAGCAGCTTATTGATCATTGATCACTGATCGATTGGTCACTGACTTGGTGCACGTTCACACCGTTTACTCCCAAAATAAAACCAGTAGAAGAAGAAATGATCACTTGTCATTTGGGCTTCTGTACAAGAAATGGTAATCAATCAATAATCTAACTTTACATCTCATCTTTAAGTTAGAAAAGACGACATTTAATGACATAAGCATGAACATTATCAGCGTCTCTGCTGCAATATGAAGCATGAAAACTAAGAATATGACACTAAATGCTACAAACGCTTCCTGCTCTGGATCAGCAACATCAGTTAGATATGTACACACTGGGTTTCTGACACACTCTGCTCACCGGTTTCACTGGTTTCACTGGTTTCACTGGTTTCACTGGTTTCACCCTGCTGGTCTGTGCTGGCCCAGGTTGGCTTCCTGAACCCTCTGCTGCGACGGACGGCCTCGGCTAAGAACTCTCTGAGACGAGCTCCGTCAGCGCTCTTCATCGAGCACGGGAGGGTTTTCCAGAGGCGGAAGGTGAGCGTCACACAGACTCTGCTGTTTACCTGAGTTCACCTGCCTGTTAGCGCTCCGGCTTCCACGTCTCTACTGCTGGGCTTACAAAAACCACAAACTTTATATTCCTGATTTCAGATCATTTGATAAAGAAAGAAAAAGAAATCAGTGACATGATAAATGTTTCATCAGTCAAATAATCGCACAAAGACTCGACAGAGAATTTTAATATTTTGGGACAAACTGTTGATTTGATCCAGACTGTGGCGTCTCACTCTGTTCAGAAGTCTGGAGACGAACCTGTGAGGAGGGAAAATCAGATGTTGATGTTTTTGCACCTTGCCTCATGCCAACGTCATCTTGACATATAAAATACCGTCATTCTGATCTGCTCAACGTCACAGCGTCAGTTAGCCAACGTCGGGTTTTAACATCAACCTGTTTTTCAATTCCTGGCAAAAGGAGCCTTATAGTAACTCATGAATAAATGATGATGTAATTTACACTTTACTATAAGGCTCCTTTTACCAGTTGTAAATGGTAGAAACTCATTAGTCACATTAATGAATATTATAAGCATTAACTTGCCAAATAGTGAGCCTGCATCAATGTATGAAAACTGTGTTATAACTTGTTTATAATTGTTTATTTACGATTTAGAAAGTGTAAACAACTGAATTAATAACCTCCTTTTAAACCTTTTATAAATCCTTTATAAGGGCCGTCTGATTGTAAAATGGTTTTTCCAATAGGAAACAGCTGAATATGAATTTAGTTGCTAAATATTCTTCATGTATTACACAGTTAACTCTGTTGTTGTTGTTGTTGTTTTCACAGGAATGGGAAACCAAAGCTGCAGCTTGACACCAGCTGTTCAACATCACATCCACAGACGACCTGACGACTCCGACACTGTGGATGTCACTTAAAGAGACAAGCTTATAACTCAGTGTCTGCGTCGGCCTCTCTGACGGCTCTAACCACAGGCTTTGACATGTACGCTCACTGAGCACTTTATAAGGAACACCTGTTCACCTGCTTCTTCCTGCATTCATCCAATCAGCCAATCATGAAGCGGCAGTTTAAAATCCTTCAGATCCCGATCAGGAGCTTCAGTTTCACATCTGACCGTGACGTGGTTGTTGGAGTCAGACGAGCTGGTTTGAGGTGGATGGACAATTCCTGTCACCAAGAACAGAAACCTGATGCTGCAGAACACCTCTGGGATGTGGTCGAACAGGAGACATCAGCTGGTGGATCCATGACATGGAGAGCTGAGGAAAGACCGAGTGTTAGTCAGGTGTTCCTAATAAAGTGCTCACCGAGTGCACAGACTAAGGCTCTAACTTAATCTTTCCATATGCTGTTGTGAATCTCTGATAAACCAAAGAAATCAAACAGTTTCTGCAAACACGATAAATGCACGATAAACTGCACACACACACACACACAGCACAATGTCTTTATTAACATTTTACTTTACCTGTTAACCACTAATCTGGGTTGATTTTTGTCCAGTTGAAGGTTTTTGTATTTCAATAAACAACATGTTAATAAGCTCCATCACAACAATATGTCGGTACTTAAGAATCCAGTGTTCAATCACACGCTGCCATGGACGGACTATGAGACTGAGATCATGGGCACAGACACATAAAGGTGTGTCTGTCTCTTTGTAGTTGTTTTATTTTTTGTAGTTATTTAGTGTCTCTTTGTAGTTGTTTTGTCTTTTTGTAGTTGTTTTATTTTTTGTAGTTATTTAGTGTCTCTTTGTAGTTGTTTTGTCTTTTTGTAGTTGTTTTATTTTTTGTAGTTGTTTTCTGTCTCTTTGTAGCTGTTTAGTGTCTCTTTGTAGTTGTTTTGTGTCTCTTTGTAGCTGTTTAGTGTCTCTTTGTAGTTGTTTTGTGTCTCTTTGTAGCTGTTTAGTGTCTCTTTGTAGTTGTTTTGTGTCTCTTTGTAGTCGTGTTGTTTCTATGTAGTTGTTCAGGGGCCCTGGCGGCCCCTGGCCCTGTACCCAGGAGACCCGTTCATTAATCCGTCCATGGACGCAGCAGCAGACAAACATGACAGCGTGCCGACTTCAGTCGCAGTCTGCTCAGATATTTTCCAAATGAGCGGTCATTTCCTGCTTCCTAACTGAACCTGGGTGTGTTCAGTGTGAAAATGTTTTGCAGATTTTCTTCCATAATTAAATATTGTGCTCTCAAATCGAGCCGCAGTCTCTGAGATGTGTTTGGTCCTGTTTGTTGGGTGTGTCAGGATTTCCTTCATCTGTAACACTGTGATGGAAGTTTGTTGTCCTGCTGTGTAAAACTCTTCATTTGTCTGCTCTCTGTTCAGTATCATGACTCACTGTTGTGAACTTCAGGTCGCATGTTTGTTTGAATTAGTTATTCTTGTGTTGTTTAATCCACATGGTCTTTATTTGATGTGAATGTCTGTAATAACTGAAGCAGTTTTTTTTTATCTGTTCTCACTATGATCAGCACAATGTTATTTTATACATATGACTATGAATCATTGATTATTACCATGACGATCATGTATTTGTATCGTTTTTATATTTACTGAATTTTATAATCTCAGGTGAATGTTTCTTTGTTGATGTTGAACTAAACACTGACCTGTAAAATGATACTGTAATATTAAAAAACTGAATTTTAATATCTTTCACTTTAGCTGTTAGATGAATGGGTAACACTTTATTTTAAGTCCAATAATTTAGCATTTATAAACACTATATAAACATGTAATAAATGTAGTTGTAAGCAGATTTAAATTATATAGATAAATTGCCATCACAGAATGAAGTAGAGTTATTAGCAAAGATTAATTAAACATTTAGATATGATTACAGCCGCATTATAGTCTGTTATAAACCAGTTATTACATGTTTTTTATTGATATAAATGTGAAATCAGGGAACTTAGTGATAAATGTGTGTGTCCTTGTCTGAGAAAATTCAGATATATTTTACTATATGCATTATGTTCATGGTTGGATAAGAGCACAGTCGGATGAGGTCAGGAAACTAAACCACTTTTCTTTGTACTTAATACTTAAGTGTCTTATTTATCTCAGTGGTTTGTTGATGCCACATTTGTTCTGTATGTTTATTCTTTTATATATTACATGTTCCTGCGTGTTGCTCTGTGTTTATATTTGTTGAGCTCAAGACAAATTTCCACTCTGGTTGACAATAAAGTTGTATTCTACTCTATTTGTTTCTATTCTAGTCTAAATGGTTGAGGTGCTTGACACATGACAGCGATGTCCACAGAGGGACAGGTGAATGCAGGTGTTTGTAGTGTTGATCAACATGATCAACATGATCAACACTACATTTACTGCTCAGAATCATAACTCTAAATCTGAACACACAGACATGATACACATATTTTAGATTGAGTGTGACTTTAGGATGTCATTAAATAAATATAAATATATGACTTGTCTACTTAAATTTCTTGTTTCTTGTAAAAGCTTACACATGTTCATGTAAAGGACATTTAAGGTGCAGTGTAACATTATCCAAAAAATATATAATTTAATTAATCGTTTAGATATTTTCATCCTCCGCTGGGTGGCGGTAAAAACCTGTTCGTCCCTTTTCTTGCCGGTGAGGAAGAATCGCGGAAGAGAGGAAAGGCTTCCTGACGGCTCAGCAGGCTAACCAGCTAACCAAGATAACAGTCTGTCTAACCAGCGGTTCAACCAGAGTTACAGGTTAGATAGACACCCGGACCGAAGGTAAAACAACGGGGTTTATAACACACCCTGCCTGTCTGCTTTATTATTTCATGGTTTTCGTTGTGAGTGTTGATAAAAAGTGGCCTCCTGCTGTTAGCTGTTAGCAAGGCGTAGACAGAACTGCAGCTGTTAGCCGGTTAGCTGCAGGGCTAAAGCTAATAGGGGGAATTGAGAGGTTTGCTCGGGGAGGGAAGTCAGCTGATGGAGGTTAATACCTGTGCTAACCGGGGCTGCTTTTATCCCGTACGACTGTCACGGTGTTTAACGGCGTTGCAGGAGCAGAGCTCGGTGTTTAGCCTTTAGCTGTGTGTTAGCCTAGCCTAGCCGCTTCCTTTTGTTTGTGTGTCCAGTTGAACGGTTTCAGGTTCAGAGGAGACAGAAGTGAGACGGACTCAGACAGGGTGTGGACTCCGCCGAAACTCATGCTGTTGGTTTAAATGAAGCCTTTTGTCCCCCTCCCCCCCTCCTCCCCCTCCTCACCCTCTCCTCCCCCTCCCTCTCTACAGCATCAAGATGACAGCCGCACCTTACAACTACTCCTACATCTTCAAATACATCATCATCGGTGAGTGTCTGATTCATTAAGTATGAAATACTCTAGCTATAGTAGTAAAAGTACTAATACTACACTGTTATAACACTGTTACAACTGAAAGCCCTGTATTTAAATCCCCAGTCAAGTAAAAGAACAAAAGTATAATGAGGAAAATGTACATAAAGAAAAATGTCTCCTGTGACTGTTACACTATTTATTACATCTTTAGATAATTATTACTTATGCATTAATATATCAGCAGTATTTTACTGCTGTAGTTGGTTGAGTTGGAGTTAATCGTTCTGCAGTTATTTTCATTATGGATGAATCTGCTGATTATTTTCTCCATTAATCGATTGAATTTTTTTGGCGTATAGAAATTATGAAAATAGTGAGAAATCCCATCAGAGTTTTGTTCAATGAACAACAAAATATTCTATCAAAATTATTAAAAAATAATTAAAGAATATTAAAATAATTAACTGTTGAGTAGTTGCAGTAAAACGCACAATATATCCATCTGAATTGTGAAGTACAGGAGTAAAAGTAGAAAGTAGAAAAAATATTCAAGTGAAGTACAAATACCTTACAATTGTACTTGCCAGAAGAGCTGTTAGTGTTGATGAAGATTGTAACACAGGTTTTGCATGTTATGACCAGTGAACTGTCACCATGATGGTGACATGTTATAATACAGCCCACACTGTATGGGTCAGATACTAATACAGTACTGGCTCCTGTTGGTACTTAAATGTAGGTATAAGTGTAGGGAAGTAACTAAATACATTTACTCCAGTAGTGTACTTAGGAACAGTTCTGAGGTACTTGTACTTAGCTGGAGTATTTCCATTTCATGCCACTTTTTACTGTACTTTATTTGACATCTCTAATACTTTTAAGATTAAGAATTTACATTAAAAAAAACATATGAATGGTTTATAAAGGCATAATCATAATCTATAACACGTCATTAAAGATGAAACTTTGAGGTGTTATGAGTTCCACCAAAGAGAAACAGAGTTAAAATAAGAAAAGTCCACAAACTGAATCCAGATCAGTGAATCAGGAGTTTTGTTTCTTCTTCTTTCCCATGAATCATGTGACGACCCCTCAGATTTATCCGGTGACCCTTGGAGGGGGCCGACCCCTAGGTTGGGAACCAGTGGACTAAACTATCCAAGTATATATGACGTAGTTAAAGCAGCTACAACAGTAAAATATTATTAATAATATCTAATATAGCACTAACAGTGAGTCACAAGGATAAAATTAGCGCTTTTACTTTTACTAATTTAAGTGTATTTTTATTCAGTATTTTTAGTTGTAATGGAGTGTTTTACAGTGTTGTATTCATACTTTTACTTAAATAAAAGATCAGATTACTTCGTCCACCATAGGGAACACAGGAGTAACTGGACATTGCTGAGGAAAAAAGAAAATAAATGATCCTGAGAAATGTTTTTGTAAATCCTGGTACCTACAGGAAACAGAACTGTGAAACAGAACTGAAGTTTGGGAAACACTTCTTCCTCTCACTTCCTTTCAGTCATTTGATTTTTCATTTCTTAATTTATAAATACAACACACACATTAATCAATATGTCTGTAAATGTGGCGGAGGGTGGGAATCGAGAACCGGTTTCAGTTGAGAACATGTTACAAATCGTCGGAACCATTGGAATCTTATCGTTCTTCTATCACTTCCTTTTATCGCTGCTGACGTGTTTGTCTGACAGTTGTGCTTTGCAAAACAATCATGTCGGAGGAGAAGAAGAAACGGTCCAAAGCGTGGCTTCATTTCACAAAGAAAGACAACGACAGTGCTGGTTGTAATGTCTGTAATTTCAAGGAAGAGTGGAAACACCAACATGGGCTTAAATTCCAGGAATGCCTGTTTTCTACATCTTCCCAACCGAGCAGCACGAGAGTAAAACCATGTTATAATAACATTAGCAGAGTCACATGGTGCCTTTTTCCTGCTCTGTTCCAACACTGTGTTCACAGATAATAAAACAGTTGCGTAGATGCTAGAAACCTGTGTAGGTCTACTTTTTTTTCCTCACAGAAAGGAATCTCTAAGGGAATTGATAAAGAATCAGACTGATAAGCAGAATCAATAAAGGCACTGGTATCAGTAAAGTCGTATCAATTTCCATCCTTAAACTCAGCAGTGTTTGCCAGCTGGCTGGTTTTCAGCTGCCACCATTTGGCGAGTAGATGTTTTTTTGTTTGTTTGTTTGTTTAAACCCTTGGAACTACAAACATGGCTGCTGGTGTTAGCTCACCTGTAAACCTCTAGTTCATGTTCTCATAGAGAGTGACGACATGAAAAGCCCCTGGTCGAATCATCTCAACAAAATATGAACCAGTGTGTCACAAAATATCTGGTTCTTTGATTTAAAAGTCAAAGCTATAAGAAGCCTGTGGATGTCAAAACTGAAGGAGAAGTCAATTACAACTCCCATGGTGCATTTCAGGAAGAACCAGCCAATCACTGAGCTTCACATCCTGTTGTGAGCTGCACTGACAGCGAAAAACTAAAAACTACACTCTACAGAAACCTGAAAAAACAGTTGAATGTTCTGACTCTTCTCTCTCTCTCTCACACCTGACTGGGTTCTTCTCCATAGTAACAGCAGCCAGGGCTTATGGGTAATGTGGTTTTTTGAGCTCTCCACTAAACATGCTGATTACATGTTTCAGACAAAAGGAACGTTTTGTTTCACCAACCAAACTGTCGTGGGTCACTTTGACGTAAGTCCTCATTCTGACCTTGTTTTTGATTATTGATTGATTTCTCTCTCTCTCTCTCTCCCTCTGTCTCTCTGTCTCTCTGTCTCTCTCTGTCTCTCTCTGTCTCTCTCTCTCTCTGTCTCTCTGTCTCTCTCTCTCTCTCCCTCTGTCTCTCTCTCTCTCTCTCTCTCTCCCCCCAGGTGATATGGGAGTAGGGAAGTCTTGTCTGCTGCACCAGTTCACAGAGAAAAAATGTGAGTCCTTTCTTCTTCTCTCCTCCTGCTGTTTCTCTGCTCCTCCCACAGTGTCTGTAGGGTCTTGAAAAGCTTTGAATTCAGCTTCCTCCTGTGTGTGTGTGTGTGTGTGTGTGTGTGTGTGTGTGTGTGTGTGTGTGTGTGTGTGTGTGTGTGTGTGTTCGCAGTCATGGCGGACTGTCCCCACACCATCGGGGTGGAGTTTGGGACGAGGATCATGGAGGTCCACGGTCAGAAGGTGAAGCTGCAGATCTGGGACACGGCCGGTCAGGAGCGGTTCAGGGCCGTCACCAGGTCCTACTACAGAGGGGCCGCCGGGGCCCTCATGGTCTACGACATCACCAGGTACTGACGGGGAGAGGCCGGGTGGTTGGTTGGTTGGTTGGTTGGTTGGTTGGTTGGTTGGTTGGTTGTCTTTGTAAATGTCCAGTTCCTTGGACTAAATTCAACAGGCTGCTGTAATTTAAATTTGGGAGGATGTGAGGATGAAGTCAGCTTCAAATGATTTTCACTTTACAAGGTTTTTCAAAATAAAATCAGGATGTGACGCTACAAGTCTTGAAAACAAGATGATCAGTATTCTTGTTTCTAGTCGCTTTATGGAGCTTTACCCGACCAGGTTTTAAGCTACAATCTTCTATTTGGGAGACATGTGTGCTAACCATTGATTCACCATATCAACTGCATGTTTATGTGGCCACAGCAGAGTCTATCAGTGGGTCCACTCTGGTCCAGCTATTTGATAAACTGGGACAAAATGTGGTTCAGGTGTTCATGTTCCCCTCAGGCTGAATGGTATTAACGTAGTTGATCTTCTGAGTTTTAATCCAGCTCCGTCATCAGGTCTAAGTTTTAACTTGTGCTGCTTGTATGGTTGGAGACTCTCAGTGTTGAAGAATAACTCATCATTTTTCTTTGTGTTTGTGTTCAGGAGAAGTACTTATAATCACCTAAGCAGCTGGTTGACAGATGCCAGGAACCTGACCAACCCAAACACAGTGAGTAAAGATGCACCAAGAACTGAAGCAATTTTGACTATCTGTAGGTTTTAATTTTTGCTTGGAGAGGACACAAAAAGAGGCTTCTGCACCAGACTGTATTTGTTTCTTGTCCACAAAGAGGCAAATATTACATTAGCAGTTTGATGCACTTTAGTTGTGTAATAAATGACATCTTTCAGGTGATCATTCTGATTGGTAACAAGGCCGACCTGGAGGCTCAGAGAGACGTGACGTACGAGGAGGCCAAACAGTTTGCTGAAGAGAACGGTGAGGAGCAGAGACATGTTGAAATGTACAGTTTATTAACAGGACATCAGACTGACTGACTGCCTGGTTCTGATCTCTGCTTCCTGTTGTTAATCAGGTTTGCTGTTTCTAGAGGCCAGTGCTAAGACGTAAGTACACACACACACACACACACACACACACACACACACACACACACACACACACACATCTAGAATGGTGTCTTAGTAAAAATATAACCATATAAACTATTTAATTTAATTTGCTTTAAGAGCTTAAAGTCCTTAATGTACAAGAACTGAACTGTATGTTTGTATCTTGATCCTTGTCTTCCTCAGAGGGGAGAATGTGGAGGAGGCCTTCCTGGAGGCAGCAAAGAGGATCTACCAGAACATCCAAGACGGCAGTCTGGACCTGAATGCCGCCGAGTCAGGAGTCCAACACAAACCGTCAGCGCCACAGGGAGGCCGCCTCAACGCCGACAGCCAGCCGGCTAAAGAGGGCTGCAGCTGCTAACCTCAGACAGAAACTACAGACCCATCAAACAGACAAACGGACAGACAGAGACAGATACGTACACAGAGATCCCCTTTTCTCCAGGCACTAACGTCCACCTTCTGTCCAGAGTGCATCCAACAGGATTGAGCTGGATTACATGTAACATAACAGTGGCACAGTCCAACCAGTCCAATTCAGACCACAGTTCAGTACCTAATCCAAACATCCTCCACCCAAATCTACAACTATCCAGATTTCAGTGTGCCACATCTGGACCAGCCTTGAATCAGGACCAGTATTGGACAACTCCCAAATCCAGACCATCTTAGACCTAAACTGGATCATTGTCTGCGCAATTTATTTATTTCTTAATCCTTCAGCATAAATCCCGACCACTCTAGATCCGGGGATCCACAATCCAGACTGCCTTCAACCCATATTCAGGCACACCTGAGCCAGACCTAGGCCAGTCTGGACTGCTCTAAGACCAGAATAAGACATCTAACATCCCTGCACCAGAAAACCTTTTTTTCCTAGACTGGATTATCCTCCGGCCACAGTCTCTGCCAAGTTTGGAGTGCTGTTGGTCCAACTCAAGCAAAGGTTTGTCAAAATTTTGGACTACTTTCATCCAGAATGTGAATCACCTGTCTCAAGAGACAAGTCAAAATACAGATCTCAAATTTGGACCAATTTACAACTCAAATCTGGGTTGCATTAAAATGGGTTGTCTTAATCCATATCTGGACATTACTATGTAGAGATCCAGAGTCTAGCCTTAAGCTGGACTGTCTCATGTCCAATTTGAGGCTGCTTTCAGAGCCCTAAACCCATAACCAGACAACCCTTTTCCTCAATGCTGGACTACCCTCCAGACCACTTCTCTTCCAAGTCTGGTCAAGTGAGTCTGATCCAAATTAGGTACTACCCTGGTCCCAAATGGGAAACACTGATAACTCAGGAGACAAAGGTACAAGGCTCAACATTTAACCAACCTACAGCCCAAAACTGGACTAAAGTGAGTTGCCTTAGTTCTTAATTTGGACATTGCAATGGAGAGATCTTGTTTAAGCGGGGCCACCCCAGGTCAAATCACGATTGCCATCTTGGCAGGTTTGACCTAAAGGTAGGCGAACCAAGACTGTTCAAATCCCACAATAGGACATCTCTAAGACCATCAACAGACAACCTTTTTTTTCCAAGATTACACTACCCGCCAGACCCAGTCTCTTCCCAGTCTGGAGCCCCATCGGCCCGTAGTCCAGACTTGGTTGTCCCTCAAGTGTGGACTGTTGTTGTCCCAGAGACAAAACACCCAAATCCCAAGAGACACATAAAGGTACCGGACTCAAAGAACCAGACCAGTCTACAGCGTATATCTAATCTACACCTTCACCAAAATACAGATCACCCTAGTTCCAAAGGGACACCGCCATGGACACATGCAGAGCCCAGGCTCCAGCTGGACTGCTGTTACCCCACACCCAGGTCTACCTTTGAACCAAAGGTGAAGGTAGTCAAAATTTGGAACCCCCTTCATCCCAAATGTGAAACACCCATACAGTAGAGAAAAATAAAGATGCAATGCCTGAATTTGGACAATCCTATAGTCTTAATCTGGACTGTTCTACAAAAAGTCGGATTACCCAAGTTCCAACTCTGGACATTCCTATGAACAGATCCAGAGCCTGGATCTCAGTCCAAATCAAGGACCACCTTCGGCCCAAATCTTTAAATATAAAACCTTGAGGTTTAGTTATATTTGATCTGCTTTAACTCCAGGTCGTCCAAACGCCCACTTCTGATGTTCGTTCTTTGAGATAAACTTCTGGATTTAAATTCATATCTTTGTCTTATACATGTGTGATACATTTGTTGTTCAATTACAAAAGTCTTTAAAATTAATGCTTCAAAACCATAAAATCTATGACAGAGTGACCTGGACATCTGAACTCGCCTCTCGGATTCCTGAAAACATTTCTTCCTCTGCTCACTTGTTCGAGTTTCCAAACACGCTGTCTGATTTAATTATTTAATCAGTTCTATATGTATTGCCCAGGTTGATAATGTGGATCAGAAGACGCATTTTAACAGTTGCTGTTGTGGTCAAATGTGTCTCTGCAGGTTTCCAGCTGTGTTTTTACTCTATTGGCTACAGTCCAGTCACCCTCATCGGATTTATACCACTCAGCCTCAGAAAATACTTATCTGTAATGTCTCCTCTACAGAAGCTTTCTTAAGTTCTTAAGTCATAAATAACCTTGACAATGTACATGATTTGGCTTGAACTCCAAGACAATGATGGAAAGCCTGCATTACAAACTGGAAGTGGGTCACCAGGCAGGGTGGGTCTACCAAAAGTCGTTATCAAGTGGCTTTACGGAAACTGTAGGATCTTGGGTTTTTGGGCTTGACCCATATTATGTACTAAAAGTCAGGCTATCTCTGCTGCTTCAGGTTTGACCCGTATTTCTTTAATAAGTTCCCCAATTTTATGGACGTGCAATACTAAAAGCCCGATGTGCTTCAGACAGACTTTGCATTTGTCGTCCGACGAGGGCTGAACAATATGCAAAACAAAAAATCATATTGCAATTATTTTGATGTGCTGCGTTTATAATGGTATTTTTACCTTTATCAAACAATTGCACTGACCATGTCGCAGTCTCGATAATATTTTGTTGTTCAGCCCCACGTCCGACCACATCTAAATCACTGGAGCACTCCTTTAATCCCAGCTGGAGTTACGGAAAAGATCTGATACATGCTGAGCGTTAACATACACTTTACAAGTCTTCACGGGTCTTTGGACCTGATCTGAACCTGACCTGTGGAAACTTTACTTGAATCCAATGTAGATAAAAATGAATGGTCGAAAAAGAGAGATAAAATCCAAAAAGCACCTGAGGACAATAAGACACTGGACCCAGCCCTACTTGGGTCCTGGGTAAGGGCCCCAGCATTAGGAACCTAGTGGACCCTTAAAGACCTAACAAACAGACAAGAACTCTTAATCCACCCAATAACCTCACCATCGCTGCAATTCCACACTTTGCCTTTTTAAAAAGATCTAAAACATTTGAACTAAATAACTTTATTTAAAATAACTGAGAACATCGATCACTCTGTGGAGAGATGCAGCAGCTGATTGATGAGGAAAAACCGGCTTACCTGAACCAGATCGTCAGTATCGGTCCCTCTGTGGATCTCAAGTTCAGGATAGATTTTTATTCAATTTTTTTTTTCTGTTATTGTTTTTTTTTTTTGTTTGTTGTTTTTTTTTTTTGTATTTTTTAATCAAATATAAATGCAATATATTTTTGATGTCACAGCTCCACCTAGTGGCCGTTTTTCACATCCCTCCTGGTTAAGTGTGTGTTGAGGGAAGGAAAATGACATAAGTGGAGGCGATGCAGATTCTTTTAATTTATTACTTCCTGGTTTTGTTTATTTTAGTTTTCTGTTTAACATTCGGCCGGGTTACAGTTTACTTGAATGGATCACTATGATTTCTGGTTCATTACAACTAAATTGTTGCTTAAACTGAATATTGATTAATGCTACAAAAATTAGGAGACAAAGTATTTGTGCATCAGAGTTTGAAAAAAAATGTACAGTTGATATCTTAAGGAACATTTTGGATATAAAATTACAAGTGAGATCTGGATCCAAATGCCAGAGCCTTGATATCCTGAAGTGCTGTAAAGTTTCCTCTGCTGTCACTAACCATCAGTCATCAACTAAAAGTTTATACGTTGAACTATTTCATGGCGTTTATCGTGTGATCCTGAACCAGTTCTCTCAGACTAACTGGGTCGGTCAGTAAATTTTGTTCCTTAAAAAGCATTCCAGCGCTAACAAGGTTACAACAGAAACACAGACAGTCCAGCTCTGCTAAACTTTATTTTACCTTTTTTTTTTTATATATATATTTTAAAGTTGCACATGTAATTTTATTCATTTGATGCAGTTTCAAAAACAAATAGGTTATTGCAGCTTTGACCTGATGATTCAACTTTATGATGGATTAAACTCAGATTTACACTAAATTAATTAACTGTCCAGTAGCTCTCCCGCAGGGAAACGCACTGTATACAAATATAAAGTAATATACAGTATACTGCTTTAACACCAGGACAGACGTTGAGATTTAAAAGAAAAACTAAGTGTGAGAATTGTTTTCTCTTATAAGTAACAAACATCAAACAGACTATCTGATGAGTCAAAGTATTTATTATTATATAATAAACTGAGTTAACAAATCAAAATTTAAAAACAATGAATATCAATCAATTAGCTGATAAATTAAAATTGTTTTGTTTGTTGTCCTAAGTTTTCTCAGTGAACAAATACATTAAATACATTTCCGCCATGTTTTATTTCCATGATAGAATAATGGGTAATGTTAAATTTTGATGTCAATGAAAAAACATGCAAGAAAATGCTCAAAGAAACAACCAAATAAAATGAGCCAGTAGAAATTAAATGTAAATTTAGCTAAGAAAAGAAAAAAAAAACAAACAGGAAAACTTCAGAATGATAAAAATATAAACGTATTAATGTGAAATCATGATAATGACAAAAACATTTTTGACTTACCTTTTGTATTTTAATTTTTATCACTTATATTTTCCTAAGTTTTTTTCCTGTTAGTGGAAATACATTTATCTTTAAATAAAAAAAAAGGAAAACTTCAAATATTTTGAAATAAAAAGTTATTTGACTTTAAATTTATTTGTGTTAGAAATGATTGTTCACAGTTTAGAGGAAACAAACAAATAAATTATTTAAATCAGTTTGTGTTTACTATCGACTCAGCAGATAACTCTTCAGTGATGTTTGTCTCCTCTGCGACTGTCTCACGGAAACAGTGATTTTCCTGCCCTGTTTGTTTCGATCTCCCCGTCCGTGGTGCAACGGTTCAGGATCTGGTCTGGTGATCCCGTGTACATATCCAGTGTTTTCAGTTTTAAACCAGAGTAACCTGCTGTGGGCGGGTCCAGACTTCACCAAGGAGTCCTGGACCACTTCAACACACAATCTGGTTTCTAACTGTGTCCAGATCTGTCTGATGGGGAGAAATCAGTGTGATTTTACTCTTCGCTGTCCTCTGATTGGTGGATAGCTGCCTTCTTTAACTGTGATGCTTGATTTATGAATGAAACCCCTCCCTCACTGTAAAAAAAAAACAAAAAAACATCTGACTTCCAAGTTTTCAGGCATCCTGTTGCTTTTTCATCATTTAATAACCTGCACGTTGCGTCTGCACTGGGGGTGTTTTTTAATGAAAGAAGGATTCGTTCGTTTCCTTGTTTTTGAAATTTAACTCAAAGATTTTAACAAATGTCCAGGGACCAAAGGGTCACAAAAATCAACAGGAAGTCACTGGATTCATAAAGAAAAACACGTTTTATTGTGACGAACACCTTAAGCTTCCCTCACCAAAGGAAAACGCAAGCATTTCATTTAAAAAAAAAAAAAAAAAAAAAAAAAACTCAAGTTAGTTAATACAGAACAGGAGACAGATTTCTGCCTGTTTACAGCAGTGCCAGCAGGAGGCAGTGTTGTCGCAGCGCAGTCACTTCTTCACCTGAAAAATACATCATGAATTCAGTTTAAAGATGTTTTCTCTGATTTTATTCCAGTGTTGCCAAATTCCTAAATGTAATCAGTGACCTGGGAGTAAAATATTATCAAAAAAGAGGAAGTTTATCTTTAAATAAATAAACAGCTACATTTCTTTTTATGAAGATAAAACCTTGGAAGAGAACAGTAAGTTTTCAAATGATTCAGTATAGTGCAGCAGATAACTGGAATAATCTTTCAAATGAGGATACAAGCACCAAAATTGATATGTTTATCACTCTGGGGCCATTAATTTGAAAAATCCCATTAACCGCTTGAAATTGGCTAACTAGCTAGCGCTAGACTAGTTAGCGAGCTTTTTTGCTGAAATATTTACATTTCATTTTTGTTTTTACAGTGTATTAAATTTTGCCCTCTACATTGTAGACACCTAGATTATTCTTACCTAAACTTAACATTAACATTCTCTTAACTTGGCGCAAAAAGTAAGATTTCTTTCTGGAAATAGTGGCCATCTTGACTCTTTGAGTGGCCAATGTACTCTATCAAAAGATTAATACCCAATAAGGATTTGTGCAAAGATTAGCATTTGTATCCACATTTGAAAGATTTTTCTGAAATGTGCAGTTATCTGCTACGCTAGTATGTTTAAAGCAAAAACAGCGTTTGAAATGATGATAGTGATCAGTCAGATGGGGGCGCTGTAATCAGGCTGAACAATGATGCACTCGCTGATGTAAACGTGCTCTTTACATTTTATTGTTATGTTTGTTCTGTACTGTCTGTTGATTTTCTTTCTGCTAAAGTAACATGCTTCTTATGATTCTTTGACTATTTATATTGGTAATCTGTAATGATTTTCTTCTGCTGTACCTGTTCATTGTACGACCATGGGGATTCAGTTATTTGTAAATAAAGTATATATACTGTATCTACGCTGATGAGTGTGCATCATATTTGTCACTGTGCTACATTTAAATTCATCTGCAACTTCAATCCACATTAATCAATCATTAAATAGGCCATGAATATGTCATAGTACACGAAGACATAAGAAGTAATTGGATAATAAAGCATAAAAACTGTCATGAAAATGTCATACTATAGTAAGGCATCAAAAATGTCATAAAAACTTCATAGTATAGTAAAGCATAGAAAGTCCAATAAAACATCATAGTATAATAAGGCATAAAAGGTCGTAAAAACAACAGATTATGGTAAGGTATAAAAACGTCATAGTATATAGTAAGGCATAAAAAGTGATGAAAATGTCATAGTATAATAATGCATAGAACGTCATAGTTAGGCATAAAAACGTCATAAAAACGTCATAGTATATATAGGCACAAAAAGTCATAAAAACAAAGTATAGTAAGGCATAAAAAGTCATAAAAACGTCATAAAAACGTCATAGTATATATAGGCATAAAAAGTCATAAAAACAAAGTATAGTAAGGCATAAAAAGTCATAGAAACGTTATAGTATAGTAAGGCATAAAACATCATAAAAACGACAGATTATGGTAAGGTATAAAAACGACATAGTATAGTAAGGCATAAAAAGTCGTAAAAACATCATAGTATAATAAGGAATAAAAAGTCATGAAAACAACATAGTATAGTAAAGCATAAAAAAGACAAAGTATAGTAAGTCATAAAAAGTCCACAGTATAGTGAGACATGAAAATTCATAAAAACTACATAATATAGTAAGGCATAAAAAGTCATAGTATAGTAAGGCATGAAACGTAATAGTACAGTAAGGCATAAAAAGTCACAGTATAATAAGGCATAAAAAAGACATAGTATAGTAAGTCATAAAAAGTCCACAGTATAGTAAGTCATAAAGAGTCATAGTATAGTAAGGCATAAAAAGTCAAAAAAACTGCATAATATAGTGAGGCATGAAACGTCATAGTATAGTAAGTCATAAAAAGTCCACAGTATAGTAAGGCATAAAAAGTCAGAGTACAGTAAGGCATAAAAAGTCACAGTATAATAAGGCTTAAAAAGTCCACAGTATAGTAAGTCATAAAGAGTCATAGTATAGTAAGGCATAAAAAGTCATAAAAGGTCATAGTATAGTAAGGCATAAAAAGTCATAAAAACGACAGACATAAAAAGTCATAAAAAGGGTCATAGTATAGTAAGGCATAAAAGTAAAAAAAAACTACATAATACAGTAGGCATAAAAAGTCATAGTAATAGTTAGGCATTGAACACGTCAATAGTATAGTAAAGGCATAAAAAGTCATAAAAACGACAGATTATGGTAAGGAACAAAAACGTCATAGTATAGTAAGGCATAAAAAGTCTTAGTACAGTAAGGCATAAAAAGTCCACAGTAGAGTAAGCCATAAAAAGTCATAGTATAGTAAGGCATAAAAAGTCATAAAAACTTTATAGTATAGTGAGGCATAAGAAGTCATAAAAACGACATAGTATAGTAAGGCATAAAAAGTCATAAAAACGTCATAGTATAATAAGGCATAAAAAGTCATAAAAACGTCATAGTATAATAAGGCATAAAAAGTCAAAAAAATGACAGTGTAGTAAGGCATAAAAAGTCATAAAAGGTCATAGTATAAGAAGGCATAAAAAGTCATAAAAACGTCATAGTATAATAAGGCATAAAAAGTCAAAAAAATGACATAGTATAGTAAGGCATAAAAAGTCATAGTATAGTAAGGCATAAAAAGTAAAAAAAAAACTACATAATACAGTAAGGCATAAAAAGCCATAGTATAGTAAGGCATAAAAAGTCAAAAAAACGTCATAGTACAGTAAGGCATAAAAAGTCATAAAAACGACATAGTGTAGTAAGGCAGAAAAAGTCATAAAAGGTCATAGTATAGTAAGGCATAAAAAGTCATAAAAACTTCATAGTATAGTAAGGGATAAAAAGTCATAAAAAGTCATAGTATAGTAAGGCATAAAAAGTCATAGTATTGTAAGGCATAAAAAGTCATAAAAACGTCATAGTACAGTAAGGCATAAAAAGTCATAAAAACTTTATAGTATAGTGAGGCATAAGAAGTCATAAAAACGACATAGTATAGTAAGGCATAAAAAGTCATAAAAACGTCATAGTATAATAAGGCATAAAAAGTCAAAAAAATGACATAGTATAGTAAGGCATAAAAAGTCATAGTATAGTAAGGCATAAAAAGTAAAAAAAAAACTACATAATACAGTAAGGCATAAAAAGCCATAGTATAGTAAGGCATAAAAAGTCAAAAAAACGTCATAGTACAGTAAGGCATAAAAAGTCATAAAAACGACATAGTGTAGTAAGGCAGAAAAAGTCAAAAGGTCATAGTACAGTGAGGCATAAAAAGTCATAAAAACGACATAGTATAGTAAGGCATAAAAAGTCAAAAAAACATCATAGTATAGTAATGCATAAAAAGTCATAAAAACATCATAGTATAGTAAGGCATAAAAAGTGATAAAAACTACATAGTATAGTAAGGCATAAAAAGTGATGAAAACTTTATAGTATAGTAAGGCATAAAAAGTCATAAAAACATCATAGTATAGTAAGGCATAAAAAGTCATAGTA